TAGAATTATTTCTCTCCCTCTGGCGTGCGCGGCGATACCCAACATTTGTGGCGCGATCGTCTTTTTCATACGTAGGTGCACCCGAAAGTGTGTGCTCGCAGGGAACGTAAAAAAAATTATTTTGTTAATTTTAAAAACTGTTCTTTTTTTTTTAACTTTAATTGCTATCATATAGTGTGGCTTACGAGCCCCCTGTGTGATGGCATAGTGGTGATGCTGGGGGTCCAAAAGACACCAGAGAAGCCAGTCCTGGGCCCGTGAGAGGGGCAGCGGAGCCCGGGAAACACTGCATATGGGTGGCGGAGCTGTTTACCGGCTGATCCATCAGAATCGCTTCTTCTGTAAAGCTGACAGTCGGCTTTACAAGTTTAAACAGAGTCCTGGCAGCGAAAGCCGCCGGGAGTCTGTTTAAATGGGCCCGATGCCAGGGATGTACACTGTACGTCACTGGTCATGAAGGGGTTAATGTAGTTACGAGTCGGACTCTTCAGCCTGAGTCAGAGTTTACCTGAAGTCTGTCAGTTGTTGCCCTGACATGGACTCCCAGCTTTTCAGTGTGCCTTTATAGTATCAAATCTAGACTCTAGCAAGAACTAAAGTGTGCTGTACTGGCATTTCCAGATCTCGGGAGACTAGCAGTCACAGGCAGCAGTAACATAAAAATGTCCATAACAGATAATTTTTTTCCATTTAGCCCCTGGACTGAGCACACAAATCTAACGGATGTCTCTCTCCACCCTTAGTGTGGATGGAAAAGCCTCTCAGTGTGTCTATTGTATTCTGACAGCCAGTGCACACCAGTGTCAGAATACATGAACAGTGACTGCAGCTGAGTCAAGAGTAGGTGAATCTGTGCCCAGATTATTTACAGATACTGAACGAGCAGTAAAAACACTTTTAAACAAGCCCTCGTTCACCTCTGTGTGCTTGTTCACAGCATATATGTTGACTTCCATTAATTTGCACAGATCAACACAGACGCAACATCAAGGCACATAGAAAATCATTGTATTCTTGCCCTGTTCTCTTCACAGCGTTGCGTAAAATGTGCACATTTTTACTATGCTATTAGTCCCTGTTAAAGGAGTACTACGGCAAACCTTTTTTTGTCTTAGTTCTCTTTAGGATCACAGGTCCACATTTACTAATGTCCTCCAGTGACCCAAAACTCAGCAAATAGCAGCCTATTGCTGAGAGCGCAGAGCCACGCCACAGATGGGACGGATCCTGACAATATTGGTGCGATCCACCCTGCTTCCTGATTGACAGTTGGCTCTGCCTATCGTGAGCCAGCTGTGCCTGCCCCTTTGCCTGTCTGTCCCTCCCTCTAGTCAGCACTGGCGGAGTGGAAGGGGGAAGCGGTGACTGACAGTAAGAGGGAGAAGATTAGGAACTGAGCTATCAGCGTTATGTGATTGCTCAGTTCTCGATTAATAGAGCCAACGTGCAACAGCTGCACACGTCAGCTCTAACTATGGGGGTAAGTGTATTTTACTTATTCCATATTTCTCCTTTTGACAAAAGTACACAGGTGTTAAATGCACATTATATAGAGTTTAGTGGTAATGCATGTGAAATGCAACTCACTAGTGTGAACCAGGCCCTATGAACACCTGAAACCCCACTTTGTGATCTTTGAGGTTCTCTGAGAATGAGTAACTTCATGTTAAAGCAGCTAGAGAGGTCAGGGATGGCTTATTTTAAGCTATCTTGCTGCTTGTTAAGAATATGTAAATAATATCTGTAGTCTGGGGACAGGTGCACTTTATTCTATTTTAACAATGGCCAGTTAATGGTCAACACTCAGAGTTCAGACATTTATATTCGTATCGGATCATTGTGCGTGTAATTAGTTTCCAGAATGTGCTGCCAACAGTTTGAGTTAGGCTGAGAAAGGTCATTAGTGCCTGGACCCATTGCTGTCTGTTGTGCCACAGACATCAACAACTAATTTGAGCTGATTTTCCATTCCCATTGACTTGCATGGCAAGGAAATAAGACTAATGGAAATAGAGTTACCGGTAAGTCCTAACTCTGAATTTTGATTAAAATGTCCATGTACCGTCTTTACCTGTAGGGGGAAGCCGCTTAAAAAAATGGATCTCTTTAAGCACATGTTGTCACTTCTAGTTCTGTGCCTAAACAGGTGAGTTGTTTCTCCCAGATGCCTTGAGTTGTTGTTGGATGTTGAGAGGTGAGACTTCAGGCCACCACTTCATCTGGGCTGGGGGTAGGAAGTTTTCTTGGTTGGCACCTAATATTCCTCATGTGATTTGTTTAACAGATTGTTTCACCATTTTGAAAAGCCAAAGTTTGAATATGTTTCTGCCTTTTCATTCTTAGCCATATGAAGTGAAGATGTGTACTCAGCCGTTTTGAAGCTTACAAAGTATTTAATACCAGATAAAACCTATTTTCTATTGGTGAGTATTTTCGTGCTCAAATTGTTTTTACTATCACCAAAACTTTTATTGACTAAGGCCATCTTAAAGCATATAGAGCAAAAACGCACAGCCATACCACCGTTGGTGGTTATTTTTCAGTGGCTTTTGAAGTTGATGCTGTATCCGTGACAGACTGTCTACCGGTTGCTAGCTATGTCTCCGAACACTGCTCGCCCCTACATGAAAGCAACAGTCTATATATGCTTCTCCTGTCTAATCCCCATGTCCCCACCTACACTCCAAACTAGGTATGCACCAATATTATCGATGCCGAGTATTTGGGCGAGTACTCGTACTCACCCAAATGCTCCGATGCCTAGCACGATACCAGAGCTTCCGGTATTAGGAAGCTAGGCGGCTAGTCATTACACGCTGCCCAGCTTCCTGGTTGGCCAGGAAGCCGTCTTCATGCTCTGTCGTCACTTGGTGATGAAGGAGCATGGAGCTGGCTCGTCGGCCAATCGGGAAACTGGGCAGCGTGTAATGACTCGCCGCCTAGCTTCCTGATTGGTCGGGAGGCGGCAAATCAGGAAGCCGGATGGGGAGTCATTACCCGCTGTCCCGGCTTTCTGATAGACCGGGAAGCCGGCTCCATGCTCCCTCATCGGCAGCTGACAAGGGAGCATAAAGCCGGCTTTCTGGCCAATTGGGAAGCTGGGCGCCGTGTAATGACTCGTTGCCCGGCTTCCTGATTGGCCAGCTTCTCGGCCAATCAGGAAGCTGGGCAATGAGTCATTTCACGGCGCCCGGTTTCTTGATTGGCCAGAAAGCCAGCTCCATGCTTCCTCGTCACTTGGGGACGAGGGAGCATGGAGACTGCTCCCCTAATTGGGAAGCTGGGTGGCAAGTCTTTACACGCCGCCTGGCTTCCCGGGTAATCGGGAAGCCAGGTGGCGAGTCATTACATATCGGCCTGGCTTCCCTAATGGGACTTCTGGTATTGTCGAGTACCCGAAAAAAATCAGTACTCGATACCGAAAAAACGGTATTGGTGCATCCCTACTTCAAACCCCTGCCTGAGGAGATGGTTGTGTGAGTGGCAGATTTAAAATTACAGCCTGGAGCTGATAGTCCAATGCTTGCTGCCCATGCACTGCCCCTTTGCCTATAGACTCTGGAGTGGGTTGTGTTGCTGCCGGAGATAGATTTTGAATTTCAATCATGTTAGCTGCTTGTGCCTGACCCTGGCCGAGACCAAACTTGGTGACTGAGCCCGGGTCCTGGAGTGACTGGTGAGTGAGATGTAAGTTATGTAAATATCCCATCTAAGCTAACACATTTTGTACACAGAGCACTGTTCCTCTCTCTCCGCCCATCTCTTGCTCTTTTATAAATGTTTAAATATCAAAATGTTTTAGTTTCCAATAGGAGTTAAAAATAGAACAAATATTTCCCTTTTTACTACAGGCTAACTTTGTATCTTTCAGGTATCTGTATAGTCATGTAGGTTGCGCAGTGCTGGCTCACCGGTTTCTAACCACTTTCCATCCTCCTGGTTTACATAAATGTTCATTTTCAAAGGATTGTAGCAAAAATTCAGAGCACCCTTGGGGCGACTACTTTCCAAAAAGGGTCTGTTTTGGTATGTTTTATAGTAGAAAGTAAGGGAACGAGGTTTCTTTCTACATTTTTGGTCTTATTTATTTTCATTTTATATAATAAATAATAAAACATCCCAGTGGTTATTAATACCAATGAAATATAGCGCTCTAAAAGATACAAAAAAAATAAAATGGATTTGGGTAGAGAGTTGCATGACAAAGTAATTGCCAATCAAACTATTGAAAAGCTATAAACTGAAAAATGGCCTGGACAAGAAGTGGGTTTAACATGGCGCTTCTCAAGCAGTTCAAGTTGGCTCCTAGGGTGAGATTTGTCCGGGCCAGCTCTATATACTCTGAGGAGTTTAGCCATTAGAGGTCTAAGCATTGCTAGCTAGAGATCAGTGCCGTCTGTGAGGGTGAAGGAACTGTTTGGTTGAAAGGTGCTCTGTGCTGCAATGTTAGCTAGAGCTGCAGCTAACGATTATTTTCAAAATCGATTAGTTAGCCGATTATTAAGTTCGATTTAATCGGATAAAAAATGAAATCAATTTTAAAAAAATTGTGCCGATCGTGGATTTGGGCGGGCGGTGAGTGTGAGGCACTGAGGAGGTGCGGAGCCTGGATGCGGGCAGGTCTGACAGCGGCGAGCGTGAGGTGGGGAGGAGGTGTGGCGCGCAGCGTGTGTGGAGCCGAACAGGGCCAACCAATCAGAAGCCGATTAATCGATTATTGAAAAAGTTGACAACTTTTTCAATAATCGATTATGTCGATTAGTTGTTGCAGCCCTAATGTTAGCCATGCACTTTGATTCCTGGTATCTTGGCTCTGCAAGTCTTTTGCCATGTTTGCATTTATTGACAATATCCTTCAGATAGCACTAGACTAGATCACATTTTCAGCAGTTCTCTAATTAAAGATCTGTCCTAGTATGCCTGGCGAATATTGTAGTTTGCTTAACATTTGCTTTTGCTTTTAACAAGGAAATCTATTTTGTGTTACAGGCAGAACATATAAAATCATGAATGAGAACAGTATGTTGGCCCCTGCTGGGGGCAGGAGTCTGCTGGCCGATTCATCTGTCTTTGACTGCAAAATCACAGAGACGTCAAAAGAAAATATTTTTTCTGTTCCTACAGATGTTGATGGTAATGTATAGAATTGAAAAAATTATTTGTGACTTGTTTTCATAGGTTTCATTACAAGACCACTACCCTTTGTACAATAGATTTCTTTGATTTTTATCTTTTGGTGTATGCCAAACTTTCTCACATTGATATGTTATCATGGGTACATGAAAAGCAGTGTTGTTCGAGGAATTTCCTGCTGTTTGCTTTGTATTCTGATAGCGGCTTCTGTCAGAATACCTGAACAGAGCCGTAACCTCATTGGCTGCCCACTCCATTCGGCCAAAGATTTTCCGACCGGATCTTTCGATCAGCTGATCGAGGGTTGCCGGCTGAAAGGGTGCTGTCAGTGGCACCCATTGTGTAAATTGTGTCCGGGTTCCTCAAGAACCAGCCAAAATTCATTCAGTGTATGGCCTCCTTTTAGGAATATTTAGCCATTTGACTTTAGGCTTTAAAGAGCCACAGAAAATACATTTATTGCTAATAAAGGTAAGAGTCAACATTGTGTGGTGTTTGATCATCGACCATACTTGTAAAACTTTATGATGGTGTACAAATTTGCTTTAACCTAGTGTACTTTACCGTATGCTGCTGTGCGGGCCACATTACAAGGTCCGGCGGGCCGGATTCGGCCCGCGGGCCCTGTGTTTGCCACCCCTGATCTAGAGCATAATGGTAAGGAAAGGAGGAGGTATTCCACTGATTTAATATTTTACTGTATAACTTAAATGTTATAAATTCTTTCAATGCAGAAGACATGCCCCAAATAGAAACGAGAGTGATTCTGGTTGAAGATGCTGGAAAAAATGAAGCATTATTAAAAGCTTTTGAGGTATGCATCAAGATTTATTAGTTCATGTCCTTGTACCCTGACAAATGCATTGTTTTTAATTTTTACCTGACTCTTCCTTTCCACAGACAGTTAAGCTAATGGAAGTTCCCTTTGTAAAGATAAGGGAAAATTGTCAAGAGAAATCCAGAGAATCGTTTATAAAAAGTATTGTAAATATGGTATGGTGCTCTGTTCATACCAACTCACCACCTTGCATGCAGCGCACTGCAAATGACACCACTAACCTTCCGTGGGAGTTTTTGATTTTTAACACATGAAGCTGCTTCACCACTTATCCACTGGGGCTGTTTTCAGTAATTTTAATGAGTAACACATCCTCATGCTTTCTATTTTTGGTGAAGGATTTTTCTGTGATTATCTTTTGTTTAGCACTGATCACTGTGTATTTCTTCTGATATGTGATTTTTGCACAGATCCATCCTTTGTTTCAGTGTAATTCTGTTGTGTTATAAAGAGATGTTGTTTTTCGTTTCCCCTTCCAGCGTATGAGCTTATGCCTCCACACACCGAATCCATCACTGTATAAAAACCAGCTCAGTATATTGTCATTATGTATAAAGCATCTACAGATTAACACGGTGATGTGCAATCAGTCAGTAGTAATTGGGCTGAATGATTGAAGTTAGGGCCAGCTCATATAAGGCCAACCTATATCCAGTATATGACCATCTTGTTTAGCCCTTGGATGAGCAGTCTTTGCTACCAGCAGCTTAATGCCCTTATGCATGTGTCAAAAAGCTCTGAAATATTTTCTCGCTGTATATTATGCCCTGTGCAATGACAAAATGGAGGACTGCATCATGTGACCGTGTTAAGCTTTAACCCCTTCGTGACTGACGTAAAAAAAAAATTTAAAAGTCCCCCGCGAGCACGCACGTCGCCGCGTAAACACGCGTCGGGTGCGCCTACGTATTAATACGACGAACGCGCTACATGCATTTAATTAAATTTTTCACTAAATATTGGGGTTTAAAAGAGTTGCGCAACATAAAAATTTGCAACTACCACCATTTTATTCTATAGGGTCTTGGCATTCAGAAAATATATAATGTTGGGGGGTTTTAAGTAATTTTCAGGCCTAAAATTTGGAATATAACATGGGTACAAAAAATGAAAAAAAGGCCTCAGTCATGAAGGGGTTAAAGCACTGTTAGCTTAATTTGTAATCCTAACGGACTCTATGGTTAGTATAAAGCACAACAAAGAACAGCCATTTACCAGAGGCTGTACATTGGGTTGTGTGAACAAAAAAGCCTTGTGTAGTCCATCCCCCAAAAAAGTGTTCCATAATCATCACTTCTTATCCCCCCCCTACCTTGTCACATCAGTATAGCTGCACCTGCAAATGTCCTCCTGAACTGTAAATGCCTGCCATTACAATGCCAGATTATCAGACTTCTATTTATTCGCTTTTTAAAGTTGTTGGTTTTTATTACTCCAAATGTTTTTTTTTTGTTTAAATATATGGCACTTCCCATTCCCAGATATTTTAACCTTCCTGGAGGTAATCCCGACTGTGGCACGGGGATACATTTTCTGTACCAAAAGCGGTACTTCCGGGTTCCTTCCCTGCGAGCGCCGGCATTGCAGGGGGGGGCGGAACCAGCGAGAAATTCAAAAGTAAAAAATAGAAAAATAAATAAAAACTGAGATGATCATACTGCCAGTGAGGTTAAAGGGGGTTTCCTTAATTTTTCATATAGGTGTTTTCAAATTTGCATGATGATGGAAAGAAAAAAAAGTGCTGTTTCCTGCAGGTTTAGGTTTTTACTCTAAATAACCTCTCCCCTTTTTTGATTATTTTTTTTTTTCTGCCAATAGAAGACAATAGTAATATTGGCGCTGATGCATCAGAAATCAAGCCCAAGCAAGTGTCATTGAAAAAGAAACAGACATGATTGGGTTTACACAAGTATCTGTACTTCCAGTCTTTATATAGTCTTCGGTTTTTGCTGCTGTTTTCCAGTCTCCTTGCTACTACTTTGACAGTTACTGCTATGCCAGCTGCCAGATTTTATGATCAAACGCGGTCTCCTGAGTGTGCATAACGGTGTCGCATATCGAAGACTTTAGTTAAGCGCAGTGACTACCTATACAGGGCTCTGTGTTTTGATGCTATGGTTCCTTAGGAGCTGGAAGACTCAGCATGAATTCATACACACGAATTGGCATTTAGACCTCTTTAACACACAACCATGGCAGCAAATTTAGTTTCATTAACCACTTGAGCCCCCAGGCCTTTTCCTTCCGAAATCCCCTTGAGACCCAGAGGTCTCGGTTCCACACGTTACATTTCGGTGTTTGTGGTCTACCCAAATGTGTACTTTTTTTCGGGACAGATGGGGCTTTATTCCCAATCAAACTACATGATTCCAAATTTAAATAGTAGCATATTAGAAAAACTAAATGTAATTTTTCCCAGCGCAATGTTGTGCTGGGAAATCTGCTACTACTCGCGGTATACTGCTACTGCTCGTGGTCTACTCAGACCGCCACAGCCGGACGGATCCTGACATTACTGTCGCGATCCTCCCAGCGGCGTGATTGACAGCTGGCTCTGCCTATCTAGAGGCAGAGCCAGCTGTATCCGGCCCCCTCCCTCGTCCGTTCCTCTAGTCAGCGCTGGAGGATCAAGACAGGGGAGGGGGAAAATCCCTGCAGGGAGCAGTGAGTGACAGTCACGGCTCTCTGTACGGATCGAGGAGCGAGCGACGATGTGTTCGCTCATTTCCTGATCTATTGAGTCGACCTGTGACAGTTTTTTCATTGTCACACGTCCGCTCGAACTATGAGGTTGAGTAAAAATCACTCACCTCATAGTTCTCCTTTTTTAAAGTCACACTAAACTCTGAGCTGCAACTTAAACATGAATTGAAGTGTATCTATAAACACAAAAGTAGCTCATTTGTGTATTGCTCAGCTGTAGATCCTCAAATCATCTCTGAATTAGTATCAACACTGTCCTTTCTTCTGAAGGGTGGCTAACTTTGCTCCCCATGGTCCCTGTGTGTGTTGTAAAGTAGCCACCACTACAAGCTTGCTCCTATGATGGACTACTATCTCACATTTTAGTTTACTAATTTTGTATTGAAATTGTAGTCCATCACAGGAGCGAGCTTGGAGTGGTGACTACTGTACAACACACCCACAGGGACCATGGGGAAAAAAGTAGTCACCTTCCAGAAGGAAGGACAGTGTCCGCACCAATTCTGAGATTTGTTGCTTGCTCAGTAAATGGAAATGTCATCTTGACCATCCAACGACATTAAGCTGGGAAGGGGTTATTTTTTTTCTTCATGAGGGGTCTGGATCTGGTCAGTAAAGATCTGATCCCAGCCCCACCATGCAGCTGTGAGGAGTAAGATTCTATTGCTGTATGCAAACGCTGGACAGAGCAGTACATTCACTTCTTTGGTGCACTCCTATGAAACGAGATGTAGAACATCGAAAACCCGTATGCTGACAGTTTCAGCTCCCGACACTTTTCGCAAGTCCTCGGCCGCCACTGACAGATAGTGGGTCCAGTCTGCACCCCCCGCCAGAACCAATGGAGTTGCTGTTTTAAAGCGGCGCTGGGATAAATGACCGTTATCTAGTGCCATTTTAAAATGGCAGTTGGGGCTCCAGTGGTTAAAAACATAACATGTGCTTAATAAAACTATAATCTGTTCAAACTGGCAAAAGAGCAGCCCCATACTGCTATCATGCATAGGTGCAGCAAAGTTAACAACTCTTATACTATACACACCAATCTAAAGATGACCAAAGTCCTACTTTAGTACCAAATTGGTCCTACTTCAGGATTAGCTTACGAGGGTTCATCATAGAACCCCCTGGAATTCCACTTTTAAATGTAGTTAACATTTATATTGTTAAAGATCATCTATGTTGTGTTGGGCTTTTTTTAGCCTGTATCAGCAAGATGTTGAGAGCCAAAAATATCACCTGGACCTTATATAAATAGTTTATCCTTTTAAAGCTGTAGTAAGACATGTGATGTTATTTCAGAGCGATGGTATAACTTGGAGTATTTTTGGCAACTGCTCTTGTAAAGATGCATTAGGTATTACATTTTGTGTATCAACTAGTATAAGCCTTCGTGTACTAACAGTTTATTTTCCCCATGGAAACGCAGGAAATCAAACTACCACATATAACAACGGAAGCAGTGGAACAGTATGTAGAAGCCGATGCCCCGGAGTTTGAAAATGTGTTTGTTCTATCCGATTTCCAGCATCCTTCCTTCCAAGCCCTGTATAAAGCCGATTGCAGAGTGCTTGGCCCACCAGTTATCTTGTACTGTGCACAGAAGGGAGAGGTACAACTTATTATAAACTATATACTTTTTTTTTTTTTTACTTTTTCATGCTGTAACTTGAGGTTTAAAGCAAGCATTAAGCTTAGAAATAAAGATCTGTTATTGAGAGGTTTTAGCCAGTATCGCTTGGCTCCAAATCTGTTGCCGTGTGAGGGCCTCCCCTTCCCAAACCAGAGGGGGTACCTTCAGTGTGTACTCTACATTTTTTGATCAGAAATGGCTGCTTCCTACACATTGGCTGCATTCATTCTTCCTTTGTATTCCAAAGCTATAAACAGAAATGCTTAGCTGAACCAACTATTCATTTTTGTGGAAGTTCTGGAAGATAAAGTGGTGGAGGGGCAGTTAGGTCTTTCATAGGTATTCATCAGAATTCAGCTATTATTTGACTAAAGCAAGCTGATTACTGTTAATATTTACCTGCTTTGTGCAAAATGTGTCAAAGTAAATTCCTAAAGCAAGTGTAACCCGTTTTATGACCATATACAGTTCTGTCAAATTTGGGAAAGAAACTTGGAGTAGAAAAATGGGAGCTGCCTTTCCTGACTTGTTTTTTAAGATGCAAGCTCCAGGGCTGGTCTCTTGCCTTCCCTAGTGATTCAGTACAGAGCAAAATCTAACCAATAAACTGTAGAAACCTAATTGTATACATACTAGTCCCCGGTTATAGATCTACTTGGTCATGAAACACGGTTAAGGATGATGGCTAGGGCTTGAAAAATCGATTTGAGAAATTGTAATTAAACGGCCGGCCGGGAGCTTTACATTCAAGCGATTGGGCGTCTTTAGAGGCCCGAGTGCTTGTTTTTGCAGCAGCTGTCACTGCCGTTGCCGGTCCCGAGATCTGCTGTGGCCAGGACCGGCATGGCTGCTCTGACAGGAGATCAAAGGTAGATCGGTACACGATCTCCTCTTCAGTCCCCAAATGCAGGAAGTGATGTATATTACATCACTTCAGCATTCTGTTTTCACTCTCCAGCTTCAGGAGCTGGTATAGCAGATCTCTGCTTCATCAGCTTCTCTGGGGGTCCATAGGTGACATTACCCCACCATGTGATAGCCATAAAGTTAAGCGTAAAAAAATTAAAGAAGCATAAAAAAAACACTAATTTTTTTTAAGTCCCCCCGCCCCCCACATACACACTGAAACATGCATTGGGTGCGCCTATTGTGCAAACGTCGGTGTGTGAGCAATAATTTTAGGGCCATTAATCACTGATCACACTGAACTGATGAGCAGTAAAAGCGTTTAAAGCGTCACCTATGGCCAATTTTCGATGTGGTCATTTTTGTGGGCGCGCGCAATTTTAAGGCTTGACATGTATGGTGTCTATTTACCAGACGTGACCCCGTCTTTTATATTTGACCAACAATATGGGTCGTAAATATTATTTAACATGTAGGGAAAAAAATATTTTTTATAGATTTACGGTACTTTTTTATTATAGTAAAAAAATAAAAACCCCAGTGGTGATTTATATACTTCGAAAAGAAAGCGGTGTCCCAAAAAATTGTTAATATAAATTGCAAGGCTTTAGTCCGGTCATGCTGATTTGGGGACATTTTTGACTGGTGAGACACCCTAACATTTTTCAAGCCCTGATGATGGCCCTGCATCTTTTAAAAGCAAGTAAGCAGTAGCAGCTGCTATACCTCCAACCTGTCAGATTATCTTTAATGTGTGCTCATCTCAGAGTGTGATTTGTTCCTCTACCTCTTTGTTTTCTAGTCTTTGCCGTTTTCATCTAGACCTCTGTACTGTGCCAGCATGCTTAATCTAGTCTTGTGCTTTACTGGTTTCCGAAAGAAGGAAGAACTGGTAAGTTGCTTTCTCTGCTTTTGTGAGCAAGGAGTTGCTGTTTCAAGAGAAATGTGATGAATATTCAGATTGTTGTAGATGTCCGTTCAGATATAATAATGCTAGAGCCTGAAGCATTTTTGTTCTAAAGCTGCTCGTACTCAGAAATATATGTATTAGTATGGTTTTAATTTAATACAGTGTAAAGTTCATTTCACTGAAAGTCATTTGAGTTTATTGGTTATAAAAACTACCAATAAGCTTTTTAAAAGGACAGGTTGTAGTTTTGCTTTATTTGCAAAACCATAAACAAGAATCCACAAAAAAATAAAACAATTCTGTATGCAGTGTATAAAGTCCAATATCTCCACAGATATATGGTGTTTAAAGAATGCTTTGCTTTCGGTACTCGCCGATAGAGTACCGGTGCTTCCCGCTGTCATAAAGCGGACTTTCCGTGCAATCAGGAAGCCGGCCGGTGGATAATGACATACCGCCTGGCTTCTTGATTGCACGGGAAGCTGGCTCCATGTTTGGCCAGCTTGATTGTGATTTGGCTGGGAATCAAGTAATGACCCGGCTTCCTGATTGTCCAGGAAGCCAGCTTCCAGGCCAATCAGGAAGCCGGGAGGTGGGTCATTACTCGCCGCCCAGCTTCCTGATCTCATGGTAAGCTGGCTCCATGTTCCCTTAAGGCACTGCCAGTCAGAGGAAATCTTCCTCTCACTAGAAGTTCCGGTATTTGGGCGAGTGAGTACTCGCCCAAGTACTCTGCATCGGCACCGATACTAATATTTGTATTGGTGCGTCCCTAGTTTAAAGTCCAATCTCCACCAACTTCATGTCCAAGTACACACTAGAATCTGGTCCCCAAACTGAATACATCCATCACTGTGAACTTCATAAGACCGTTCATTGTGCTTGCAGTGAGGTTTAATTCCATCAAGTGTCCTCTCACCACACTCCACACCATACTCGGCGGACTCTAGATGGACCATATATAATGGTCTGCAGCATTGTTCTTTTCTTGCCTACATGCACCTCAGTCAAGGTACGCAGCAAGACAAGACTTGTATCCAGCTATGTATTAAATGCATCTCATAGGAGAAAGAGATGCCTCATAGCGTACAACCATCTAACACTTTATTTAAAATCCTTTATAAAAACTTGCATCAACAAACATCAAAAAGCTTTCTTCAAGTAGGTAGAAGACCGCTCCAATCCCCCAGTAACATAGAGCAATCCTTCAGCTTCCTCTCTGGATTAGGCAACCACAGGGGGTTCTGCACTTCCTTGTACTAAGGCAGTGGGCGTGTGGAAACGTACTTAGTGTGGACACCCCTAGCTGACACATTTCATCAATTTAATTTTTCAAAGGCAGGTGAACAGGTGAAATAGAGATGTGGATGTGGTTTCTTTTTTGTTTAGTCAGCTCGCACTCTAGACAAAACGAGGATGTTTGGCTCACAGCAGAACCCTAGTTGCCACAATAGAACTGGAGGTTGGGCAAAAACTTCTGGGACCCGACCCTGCTACTTCCACTCTTTAACCCTTTCGCTGCCAAGCCCTCCGGAACATTTTTCAAATCAGCTGGCCAAGCCATTTTTGAATTTTCTGCAATTTTTTCCTATTGATTTGATTTTCAACTGCTGCGTTGCTAGCGTTTGTAAAAGACCCCCCAAATCATATATTTTCTGAAAGCGCAGGCCCGGTAGAATAAAAAGATGGTGATACTAAATTTGTAGGCCCTTGCTTCTGAGCCGCTGATGACAGCGATTAATTTAAAGGGGACAGTCTGCTGAACAGTTATACTATAAGCTGATGGTCGCTAAAGCGACCATCAGCTTATAGTAGAACTGTAAATGCCAGGTCCGTATGGCATACTGACCTGGCCAGCTGGAAGCACTTTTGTAGGTCCGTATGCCATACGTCCTTGGCAGCGAAAGGGTTAAACAAAAAGCTGTCCTATCCTTCCTTGTGTTTTGGCATTTTGTTGTAGAGAAGAAATTGCTGTAAATAATTGTTTGTAATACCATTGATTTGTACGCAGGTCGTCTTTATGCACTGCACCATCATTTATTTATTTTTTGTAGGTGAAGCTTGTGACTTTAGTACATCATATGGGAGGAACGATACGAAAAGACTTTAGCTCTAAAGTGACCCACCTTATTGCCAACTCTACTCATGGAGATAAATTTAGGGTTTGTATGTTTTCTTCTGCCTTACTGTACATAATATGTGCAGAAAGATATTTTGTCCTGCTATATATTGCTGCACACTGGTGGTGGTGGTGTTGCCATACAATGGGGTCAATTCACAGATTTTTTGCTGATTTCGGCCATTATTTAATAGATCTTGCCCGCTATTCAGGTTTTGTTCAATTCTCCAAGTGATTAACCTCTTCGAATCTTCACCAATTACCATCTGTATTTGCAGAAGTGATATTTTATCATCTAACTGGTTATTTTATTTCACTTTTCAATCCTTATTTTATGAAGCCTAATCAATAAATATGTACAGAAGTGCAAATTCACAAAGACTTTTTGGCCATTTATCGACCATTAGACGATCGTTGCATAAGCACTTCTGTCAGTGTCATGACCGTTTTCGGGCAATATTTTCTGCTTTTGAGGGAGATTTGTGAGGGGAATTGATACCTTCTGCTAGTAAAGCCTCTTTTTAGCAGTTTTTGGAAGACTGAACTGTTTGCCTGTGTTTTTATTCGATATTCCTAAACTATACATATATTGTTTTTTATATGCTTTATTTTTATTTTTTGGCGTGGGGTTGTAATTTGTAAACTTTGTAACATGTAAACTTGAACAGTTCGAATAAAGTTGTTTACATACAGCAGTGTAGTGTGTTGAAAATACGTAATTTGTAGCCACTGCTCTCTCCTCCTTGGCCCAGAATGCATCAAACATATTTTAACACCTTAAATGTTAATTCTACGATTCAAGACGTAAAAATAACCCTGGAGGGGTAAAGAATATGCATCATTTGCTAAATTAACTCCCTAACGCTTCAGTCTGAAGCCTTAACAGGCATGCTAAATAAGGATTGGGACTTTTGTGAATACCAGGAATAGGTAAATAAACTAGAGGGCAAATAACGTTTCTCTTTGTGAATTGTCCCAATTGTATATGATGTTGTACTATGGCTGCTTTCAAATGAACTGGTTAAAGGAGAATTATGAGGTGAGTGCTTTTCACTCAGCCTCATAATCTGAGCCGACCTGTGACAATTAGACTGTCACAGGTCGGCTCAGTAGATCGGCAAGTGAGCGAACACATACCGCCGCTCGCTCACTTCTCGATCCTGTCACTGTAGAGAGCCGTGACGGGAGTGACTGGATTCCCCTCTCCCCTGTCTGATCCTCCAGCGCTGACTGGCCGGACGGGGGAGGGGGCGAGTACCGTTGGCTCTGCCTCTAGATAGGCAGAGCCAGCTGTCACTCGCGCAGCTGGGTGGATCCAGACAAAATTGTCTGGATCCGTTCGGGCTGCGGCGTCTCGGTATACCGCGTGCTGCAACTCGCAGTATACTGAGCTTTGTGTAACGGGAGGACGCTAGTTTGTGTCCTCCCGTAAACCCTTCGGAGAACTATAGGGAAAAGCTCTAACCCCATAGTTCTCCTTTTAAAGTTGGCCTATCGAGACAATTTGCGTCTCATATGAATCGGTAAGAGGGATGTCGGTATTGCCAAATTGCCTCATCATTTTGTGTAAAAAGTACCTCTTGATTAGATAAAAACTCTGGTAGCCTGAAACTATGCAACATTATCTAAAACTATGCTGCTTAACCAGAGTTTTTAATCCGAGACCCCATCTGAAGGACCTCAAGTAAGGTGAATTGGTACATACAGTTGTAAAGGGGAACTCAGGCATGCCATGAGCCCACTCCTTTATATATATATATATAATCAAATTTCACACTAATGTTTCTATGGAGGAGGCATTGTCATCTCACGAGTCTTATGACCGTATGTGTTAGGACTAGAAAACATGTCCCCCTCTCCTCATCGTAACAAAGAAAAGGGTGTTCTATAGTCTACAGAGAAAGTTGTAAAGAGTTCTAACTTAATAGTACAGCTGAGGCATTGCATAACCAAATGATTTGTGTAGCCCTAATAAATGCACGTTAGCTGGAATGTTGGCATTATCTAGAAGATCAATGTGAACTACAATCTTTTACTCTAAAAAGGTTACTCTTTCACAGGTTGCTGTCAGTTTGGGAACCCCTATCATGAAGGCTGACTGGATTCTAAAAGCCTGGGAAAGAAGGAATGAACTGTGAGTATTGCTTTCAAAAACAAAACTTGTATTAAATGATTCATGAAATCTATCTATTTCTTCTGGCTTCATGCATTTTGGAAGGTATATTGTGCGTCACCTGTTTAGATACACAAGTACTGCTATGATGGGCACTTTCTGAGAAACTCCCAGAAACATCAGTTAATAAAGAGAAACAGTTTTTGTTAACAAAAGCAATGCACACTATGAAAAGCAAAGGTGGTAATTTAACACTTTGTATCAGATTTTGCATGAGTATGTTAAAGATACTGAAACAGAAAGGTCTTGTTCACACCTGGGCTTTCTGCGCTTTTACGTGCATTTTTTTTGTGTTTTGCTGTAAATTGTAGCGTGTTGACCAATGAAAAGCAGTCAAATTAATTACATAAGTTCCTGTTTCCTCCAGATAAGAGTGTTTGCTGCTGTGTTCCCTGCTGCATTGTCTTGGTGATGGATCATTATTACTTTCAGATCTGGGATGCAATGTGATACCACGCTCTCCTGCATGTTTTTATTTTTATATTGTAGTTGACGAGGGTCATAAAGATGCACCTGTTTCCGAATTAGATTGCTAAAACTGTCTCCATCATATTGTGTGGTGATGTCTCCATTTTGAAATCCCAGTGTGCTTTGCCAAAAAAAGTATTTCCATGCTGCAAAAAAACACGTAATGAAAGTCTGGACCAAAAACGTGCTGTATATGCCGCAAAATAGTTCATCTCATTTTCTGTGCGGCAGGCGGTTTTTGGGCGCTATGCTCAGGTGTGAACAGGGATCATTGAAATTAATGGATTTTTCTTTGAGCATTTAAGCGCGGATAAAAACACGTGTTGAAATGCGTAGATGTGAACAAGGCCTAAAGTGTTCAAGAAAGTGGCACATAAAGTGAACCTGCTAGCAATTTAAAATATGTAAATTCTTATCCATGGGTAGGCACCACACGATGCCTGCTATTACTAGTGTTAGGCAGAAAACCCTCCACTCTGCACATGTCTACTTTCACTTTTACAAAGGACGAGGGGCCTGAATTCACAACTAGGGCCCTGCCAACTGCCACTTTGTGTCATGATGACATTTATTGGCTGCCGGGCACATTAAGGCACATTGCTTAGGTATAGGAAACATTGCTACAGGTGAAGGAAACTTCTCTACATTGGCTTTAAGGGCAACTGCATTAGTGGACTGTTTTTTTGTTTTTTTTTTCCCAAGCAACTGTCTTTTCAGTGTTGCTTTCTGTAGGAAGTGTTTTGCACCTTTTTAATATTGCAATATTAAAGTTTCTTTATGACCAAAACAAATATCTAGTTCGGTATACTGTGTGGAGTTGCTAAGAACTTTCACTTCTGTAAATCCCCTCACCTTTTAGGTGGCTTTGTTGGGAAGTCTTTAAAGTCCATTCCAGAGATTGTTTGCAGAACAATTCATTTATGTTGAATGCTATTTTTTTTTTAGGGAATTCAGTGCGATAGATGAGACCTTCAAAAACGAATTTAAGGTTCCCCCATTTCAGGACTGCATACTGAGTTTTCTTGGGTTTTCAGAAGAGGACCGAGTCAGCATGGAGGAGATGACTGTAATGCAAGGTACAGACACAACTTTACTTGGAGCTAATGAAATTCTAAGCTATAAAGTACAATTTCTTCCTGCATTAGAATGGGGGCTAGATGTGTCAGAGGCCACATTGGGATTGCTTGAGCAATGCAGGAATGTACATCATGCTTTGGCAGCTCCTTGTATTCAGAGCTTTATAGCCTAACACATGCCAAATTGTTTTTGGATAGATAATGGTAAATTTTTATGTAAGTTTTTGCTGTCAGCTGTTATATCTGCTTCAGCCGGGATTGTGATGTTTGTGCACTCTAATATTGCTTGTTGCACCCTAGAACTGTGTTGATATGTATACTGTGAACTGATAATCTGCATATAATTTCTGAGATTGTTGGGTTTTTATTCTACTTTTAGTAACTATTTTTTTTTGTCCTTTTTAGGTGGGCAGTTCTTGACTGTTGGGGATGAAAAATGCACTCATCTGGTGGTTGAAGAAAACTCTGTAAAAGAGTTGCCCTTTGAGCAGCCAAAGAAACTTTATGTTGTAAAGCAAGAGGTGAATTGTAGCCCATGTGACAAGCAATTAAATAGTTTGGTGGTTTGTTTTTTGATGTTTTGAGCTAATTTTTTTTTTTCCAATTGTATCTCCTCAGTGGTTTTGGGGAAGTATACAGATGGACGCTCGAGCTGGAGAAACAATGTACTTGTTTGAAAAGGTAACTGCCCATGTCTCTTCCATTGCTTAACTGAAAAATGTGAGGTCTGAAGAGAGGGAGGACAGGGGATGATATCTTCTTTTTTTTTTTTAAGAAAAAGTTGCAGGTTGCAACTATTTATTATCTCACTGTTCATTGCAGCCCTCACATTTTACATTCATGCATGTTACCCCTGCTTTCATTCATTTAATGGTGAAAACCAGCATTGTTAATTTATATTGAGACTCCATTTGAACAGTCTTGCTGGTGCATATATAAAAGACAAATGAGCCCTTTTTATAAGCGTTGACATCTGGGTGAGAAAATAACATGCGCTGGATATGTGCACTCCTAGAAAAAATGTTTGCAGTTCAAAAAAGTTTAAGAAAAACCATGACACTTAAGGCATACAAAACATTCATCTGCTGTTGGCGTTTTATCACCTCTCGCTTACACCTCTGCAACATCGGTGGCTTCCACGGGTATTTACTGCATCAGTGCAAAAATCTTCTGCTTTGCCTTTTTCTGTAACTTCCTATATACTTGAATGGGTACCCACACAATTGGGAGTAAGGGCCCCATTTAAGTCTATAGGAAAGTTTTCTGTTGTGAGTCTTTACACACTGCGGGAGGCTGCCACAGTTGGAAAGTGGTTAGTAGGCCCTTGGGTGGAGTTTTTCTTAGAATATGTGGGGTGCTGGGGATTTTGTTTTATCAGAAACCTATCCTTTAAAATACAATATATATATATATATATAATTAATTTATGTGGTATGTTAGTAAACACCCACGTAACGTAAAAATGAAAGCAGACATATTGAGGAATCTAAAGTTTGAATTTGTATTAGTGGGCTTCCTCTTATGCCAAGTTCTGTTTCTTTAGGCCCAGTATCCATTCAGAACACTTAGTGGCCCTTGCATAGTGTTTTTTGGAGGAATGGATTATTGTATAGCTTGGAGCCCTGGTTATACCGCGAGCTACAGCTCGCGGTATACTGAGACCGCCGCAGCCGGGACGGATGCCGACATGACTGTCGAGATCCACTCAGCTGCGTGAGTGACAGCTGGCTCTGCCTATCTAGAGGCAGAGCCTGCTGTGCCCGCCCCCTCCTCTGTTTGTTCCAGACAGTCACCGCTCTCTGCAGGGAGGTTATCGAGAAGTGAGCAACCGGCGGTATGCGTTCGCTCAGTTTAATTCACACTTCGGCTCTAACTATGAGGATGAGTGACTTTCACTCGCCTCATAGTTCTGCTTTTAAGCAGTTACAGGAACAGGTTCTCTTTTTCATTAAGGCCCCTTTCACACGGGCTGATCAGAAGAGGATCTGTGCACGGTTCTTTTCCTGATCACAGCAGTATGGAGCGGATGTCACCCCTGTGACACCCATGTTTTTTGTTTTTTTTTTCCTCCTTGCGATTTGAGGAAAAAAATTAATTTACCGGACCCCATGGCAGACATGGGTCTGTCTACATCCGTTACCCCCAATCTGGCACGCTCTGGTCCACCGAAACAGAACACTGTTCCATTTGTTTTTCCGGACCCAGCCAGAGGTGGGGATAACCAGGTGTAAACACATGGCTGCTCATAGACTTGCATTGGGATCTGATCGGATCCGCTTGAAAAACGGACAGGCGGACCTGATAGGACCAGCCCTGTGAAAGGAGCTTTAAAAGTGGGAAGGTTTAAACCTTAGAATGAAAGGCAACTTTTTTTTTTTTTTAAAACCTCATCGTCCCTCTAATAGTTTGTGATTGAAGAACAGGAAATATCAATTTAGAAGCCTGCACAATGTATGTATTAGAGTAATGCCAGTAGGTGATATTGTGGTTTGTTTTTCCTTTTTTTGTGTGTAGCATGACAGTCCAGCACTCAAAAAATCTGTGTCGCTGCTTTCACTGAATACACCTAGCAGTAATCGTAAGAAACGCAGATTGAAAGATACGCTTGCACAGATAACCAGAGAAACGGATATGTCCCCCTTTCCACCTCGGAAACGCCCATCAGCTGAGCATTCTTTGTCTATGGGATCACTGCTTGACATCTCAAACACCCCGGAATCTGGAAAGTCACTGTCAGGTAAATGTTAATTAGGTCACATACCAGAATTTGTTAGCCATCTTTTTTCTTTTTAAAATGTTTTAATTTCTAAAGTCTCAAACTATGAAATAACAGTACACAGGAGAATTTGGGCAACCATTCTCTAATCAAGAAGGGAATGGCCCAGTGTTTGATTATTTATATGGGCTCCTGAGTATGGCTACACACTTTTTTTTTTTTCTAGATACACCAAAATTTTCTGGAAAGCCTTCCAAAATCTCTGCGCCAATACCCCAAAAACAATCTGCAAGATGGCAAGTTGCAATGGAACTGTATCAGACTGAAAGCAATTATGTTGACATTCTCACTACAATTGTGCAGGTAATGCCTAAGGTCTTTCATGGCTTTGAGAACATTTAAAGGAAATGAACAAGTTAATGTAGCGTTCAGATTTTAGTTTGTTAGCTTCCCGCTGACATTTTAAGCTGCCAGTAAATGTGCAGGTCCTATGACAACAATAATGTTTGTACTTCTACTTACACTGAATCCCCGGCTCCTAGAATTTGTCATGTCCTAAGTAACACTACATGGAGGAAATTACAGCTTTTGGATCTATTCTCTTCTGTGGTGTGGGCATGAATTTTTGGGAGGCGTAGTGCTGTGGTTTTATTTATTGATTTAATTTAGGCAAGTTTACATAGAACAAAGATGTCGGTGCTCAAGTGTTCGTGATATATACCCTAAACAGGTTGCTTCCATGTTGAGTTAAATACAAGATAATATCTGTGATCTTGCAGCTCTCCAGTCTCGGGAAATCTTTGAGCAATACTAAACAACAAATGGCGCTGCAGCAATAAAATTAACAAATATATTTTACTCAAAGTACTTGATAAAATTGCAAGTAACACAAAATCCATTACAGTAGAGCGTCTCTCAGACCAACAGGCAGATATCCCACTGTCAAATCTGACAAAGAAAATGTAATCGTTGCCTTCGATGTAATCGTGTGCATGCCAGCTAATGCGTCTCGAGTGCACTCTCGTCAGTGCTCTGAAGAGTGTACGTCCACGAAGATATAATGCCGGTATATTTCTGTGGGTGTATTTCCCTCCCAAATACTCGGCACCGATACTAGTATCGGTGCATCCGTACTTTTGTTTCTATATTTTGTTTCTCCTTTCCCTGCCACCGCCGTAAGGCGTTTCAAGAACAAAACTGTTCTTGGAACGCCAGGTCAGTATGCCTTACGGCGGTGGCATTTACAGTTCTGCAGTAAGCTCATGGTCGCTTTAGCGACCATGAACTTAAAGCAGAACTGTTCCCTGGACAGTCCCCTTTTAAATTTATAGCATCAGCGGCTCACAGCTATTGACAAACATTCCGGGCCCCCCCACCGACACCACTGCAGCCGCCATCTGCAGCCTCTCATCCAGCCAGGGGTTCTGTGTCTCCATTGATCCACGCTGCTCTCCCCCGCTTGTATGTGCTGAGGCAGGGGGGATGCGAAAAGAAATGGCCGGCGGAGGATCGAGCGGCGGTTGGCGGGGAGGAGGAGAGAAGCCGCAGCTGTCGGGATGGCCGAGCGGTGAGGAGATCGGAGCCGCTGTCATCCTGTCAGTTTCCAGATGACAGCGGCTCTGTGCATGGTCGAGCAGAGGATCTGTAAATATCAGTGATATTACCGATCCTCTGTGCAGAGTAAACACTGGAGTGATCGTCTGATCATGATTTTTAACTTTTTTTTTTTTCTTAAAAAAAAACCCCCATAAATTTAACTGGCAGTGCATGGCAAAGCTTTGTGATACCTTGTGTTGCAGTTAAATGTGCGCCTGTATCATTTTATCACAACACCAACAGCGCAAAATCGATTTTTAACATTTAACAAGTCGTTTTGCGCTCCTTAATTTTTTTACCTTTTTTGCAAAAAGGCGCAATTTGCAATTTGCAAATATTTATGTGACGTGAGCAGCGTGTGCTTCAGGCCGCGTGTAGAGCCCCGAACAGGGAAATCAATCGATAGCCGACGAATCGACGATCGAAAACGTTGGTAACATTTTCAATCGTCGATTTTAATCGACTAAATCGATTAACTGTTGCAGCTCTAGGAAAAACACTAACCCCATAGTTCTCCTTTTAATACAGTTTTAGTTTTAGTCAGAAAATATTTTTTTTTGTGCTTTTTCAATTTGAATTGTGTATTTTTTATTTAATATGAATTTGAGAAACATTTGCGCAATTATCGCAGGGCCTACAAATTTAGTAGCACCGTCTTTTTATTCTACCAGGCCTGTGCTTTCAGAAAATATATGGTTCGGGGGGTCTTTTTCAAACGTTAGCAACACCGCAATTGACAATCAAATCCATGGGAAAAATTGCAAAAATGGTGTGGCATGTGAGGTGCAAAATGTTCTGAAGGGCTTGGCAGCGAAAGGGTTAAAGAACCATTTGCATTGTGCAGATACCCCTAGTACCCATTTAGATCTTAACATTTACGGATTTTACTTCAAGCAGAAGAAAACAATGGCTTGCTAGTTAAAGATAAGATTTCAGCACTTGCCATGTTTGCAGTATGGTTTTCATTTTCAACCTGTGATGGCTTGGCATTAGATCTTTCCCAACTCTTCCCCTGCCCCCCACCCTCCCTCACCCTTCTTGTCTTCAGGTGGCTCCATCTCTTTATGGAGCCACCATTTGTGTGGCACTATATGGATTAGTCTCCTTGCATCCACAGAAACGCATAACCCCAGCGGCAATTCTCTTCATTCTGCCAGTGACTGACTGGCTAGAGCCTGCGCTGTCTCTAGTGCATTGGGTATGTGAAGCACTCAGGGCACACGCTGCACTGCCAGGAAGTTCAGAGAAGTGGACTTGGGAGCTGGTGGCAGTTTATTGCTGTTAATGTAAATGTATTTTGCCCACATCAACTAAATTATAAATTAGGGGCTTTGTGGTCATGTGACCCCCATTAGGTAAAAAAAATCCTCAGTATTACTAAATGTATACAGAGAAGATCAGAGCTAAAGGGGGACCAACATTTAAATGGTGAGTTATTGTAATGCCTTTTTTTTTTCTTTGAGTCTGTTTCAAGTTGGCTGCCCTGGTTTATTCTGTGTTGGTATGTTAAACACCAGTTATTAGTGATTTAACCAGTTCAATTCTGAACAATTATTTCAGCTGTTTCAAATTCCACTAGAAAAGGAGGGTCAAGTTGGTGGGCCTATTCTTGCTCAAGAAGAATTAAAAACTATTTTTGGCAGTATACCAGATATTCTGGAAGTTCACACCAAAATAAAGGTAACTTGTTCTGTTTTTCTCTTTCCGTCTTTGCCAAAATGTACAGTTCTCTCTGGGGAATAGGAGAGAGCCTTAATATTGTACACTTGTTGAGATTTCAATCCTTCTGGAAGACTTTTGGCCAGTAATGGTGCAGAGTTTTTGTGCTTAATTTTTTAAAACGCTGCACTGTTAAGTGTTCAGATCTGTGGTGTTGCTAGTAAAAAACAGGAAGTCTACGGATCGAAATGATGTGCGTTAAAATACATTTGTGGTTTCATCCCTATATCTTATGATTTATTTTATGATAGGCAATTTATATAGGGCTCACAATTTACACAGCACTTTACATATTGCACTTTCACAGCAGTCCTTCCTCAAGGTGGTTATAATCTAAGGCCCCCACCTCATATGTATACTAGGGCCTATTTAGCCAATTACATTCCAGCATTCATAGCATTTATTTTTTTAATATTGGTATTTTATATAGTGATCATTTATGCAGCACGTTACATACTGCACATTAACATCAGTCCCTGCCCTCAAGGAGCTTACAATCCATATCTCGCATACACACACATATTGATTGAGACAGGAGCCAGTCAACTTACCAGCATGTCTGTGGAGTGTGGTAGGATACCGGGCTATCCAGAGTGAACACACGCATAGGGAGAACATTGAAATGCCGTACTGGTAGCGACCATAGTGCTGCAAGGCAGGTGTGTTAACCACTATGCTACTATGCTGGACATAATGTTGTGATCCTGCATTGCGAGTCCAGTTTTTATCTTCAATGGGTGTTCATGCAAAAAGTGCATCTGTGATCTTGTAGTGTTTTATAACTGCTAAAAAAAATGTTTTTTGCGGCATTCTCTTTTTTTAACTCTACAAATTTGCTGTTTTCTTTAGGGAGATTTGGAAATTCTTATGATGGACTGGGCAGAAACCAAAAGTATTGGTGATGTCATTCTTTCATATGTAAGTATTCTGATAAGTAGCTATTCATTTTAGTTTGCTCGCTATTTATTTTAGGTTTATTACTGCAGATTAATTACTGACAAGACCATGTTTCTTTCCAGTCAAAGGATTTGGTGAAAACCTATCCTCCATTTGTAAACTTCTTTGAAATGAGCAAAGAAACAATTATAACATGTGAGAAACTAAAGCCAAGATTCCACGCTTTCCTTAAGGTATGAAAATTACTTTGCATCTTATGTCTGTACAAGTGAATTAGGACCAGTTGAATTACTGCAGCCAGAGGTTGCATACGTCTGTTTTTAGATGCTTTGTGGATTTATATAAGGCAGTTCAGCGATGCTGAGCACAGCATAATCATTTCAAAGCAGCCAATCCATTTTTTTTTTTTTTTTTAACCACTCTGTGGCTTTAAAATAAAATCTTGCCTTCCAGCACAACATATTTCCCCCCCTCCACATCTCTCCCCGAGGGAGAGATGTGTGCCCCAAGCAATACAGCACACATGTCATCACTCACTCCTTTTCAGTATCCTCCATCCACAAAATGTATTTTTTTAAGACATTCTGTGATTGGAGGAAGTGATGTCATATCCCAGCCTCTCCTCCAGTTAGGGAATGTCTTGTGATCTTTAAAAACAAAATTGCAAGACTTTTTGTAATTGAAGGTGGGTGAATAGGGCAGGTGATGTGACCGAAAGTTCACTTTCTTCAGTGCCCGGAAGCTGTGTGTTGTGTGGGGGACGGCATGCTGCAAGGTAAGATTTTTCTACTTTGCAGCCGTGCACTGCACATAACTCCCATTTTTTTTTTTAATTTCCACACGCAGTGCGATGTGTAAATGTATCATTCTGCTCAGAATGTGGCTTTTAAGTCAGATCAATGGTACTCGGTCAGACATTCTCATTACAAGTAAGGTTACAATAAACCGGTATGTAAAAATTTTCTATAGGTGACCGGAAAAGTCCACTAAAGCTTCCAGTCTCAATTCACCTACCCTGGTGTCGCATGTACTGCAGAGGGGTCCAAAACCCATCCCCCCATACCGAATTGCCAATCTCTTTATAAAATCCTGAAAGTTGGATTATGCGTTGGCAACAATCCCTGGCCATGGCTTTTGCTTATTTAGAACCCTATTTTAGGGATTATCTAGTTGGTTGTCTGTGCAGGTTACAGCACTACGTAAATCCTTCCTGCTCTTTTCATTGCCTACCTGATTGAATGGATTACATAGGGAGGTCTTTGTGTTTCATGATTGTTAAATCCAAAGAAAATGTTACAATCACAGATTGTAATGTGGCATTAACTTTAACATTATTGCATACGGAAATTAAATGTTAACGTTTTCAGTGTTGCATAGTTCTGTGATTTTAGCCACACGCACTCGTGTGTTTTTGATGACGTTTAAACATTTTAAAACTTTTTCGGGAACCGGTAGGGACCAGCTATCTATCCGTTTTACGAAAGTCGGCACATGAGATTTTAAATTGGTCATTAAAGGTTACCACACTTTGATTTAATTTTTAATCTATATAATAATAATATAAACTGTTTGAACAAATTTGTGATTTCAGCCAAAGTTCAGCACACGATGGCCTGAGCCACCAGCTAGTAGTTCATGTAATGTAAAACAAAATGGGAATGTTTTTATATCTGTAGACTGGACCAGATTATTGTACATGGCTGGTTTTCTAGAGATTGGTGCCTTTGTGCAAAATATACATTTTTTAAATGTCTTTTTAGATTAATCAAGCAAAACCAGAATGTGGGAGACAAACATTAGTGGAATTATTAATCCGACCTGTTCAAAGGTTGCCTAGTGTTGCCCTGCTTCTAAATGGTAAGTTGTCTCGTGCTGCTTTTAGGATAACTATCTGTTCAATAACCGGTTTAGTTATTTTCTTCAATATGTGCTTTGGCAATATCTAGTCCAAATACTTCTAGCAATAATTGCCTGATGAATCTCCTCTTATTTAAAATGTACCTTAGTTTCACCTCTTTTCAAGTGCAGGAGATAAAATGGAAAATTGAATACTGTCCTCTCTTTTGAACAAATGACTTCAATCACACACTTATACTGACATGGCAGTCGAATACACAGAGACCCTTTCCCTGCTGAAGTGATACACTAAGTGAGGTAGGGGAGACACAATTTTCCTTAAAATCTGCTAAAAAGTCCAGGTACTACTACTAAATCCCCTAACCATCTAAATTTAATATAAAACAAAACCCCTCTCGCCCAGGATTTATATCTTTATTTCAGAAATCTCTTCTGGTGCTGGTCTGCACTGTAACCCTACTTTACCATTAAATGGAGCCAAACTCTTCTGTAATGTAGGCGTATGGCTCCATGCATGTCTCTGGGGGTTATGGTTTTCTGCACAAAGGATGTAAACCCTGCAGGAGGCAGCTGCATGAAGTCAAGTATGCAGTGGGTTGTGCTGCGTTGTTTAAATACAAATATAAAAAAGAATAAGTGTAGCTGAATGACAGTAATGAGATCTGGACACCCCAAAACTATCCGGAAACCCGTTGTCCCCGCAGTTTGGCAAAATTCACCACTTCAGATATGTTTCGACCATGCTACCAATTAGACATGTCTGTTTTTGTTATTTAGAGGGTTTTCAAAAGTTCCATTCCAACTGGAATTTCCAGACCGCCAGAAAGGTTTATCCAGCGTGGACTATGGCTTCATTGCCATCCTCTTTATGAGGGATTGTAAAGCACGGAGTATCCAGAACACTAATTTAGTTATTACTTGACCGATTCCAGATAAATACGCATTGATCGGTCTGGGCTCCGATGAACTGCAAATAACCCTGGCAACAAAACTAGTTTCCACACGTCACCCAGAATTCATAACTTTGGACTTGGGGGCGCTGTGTATACTGTGTGTATTGTGAAGCGCTGGTCCCATACATACCACGCACCCCTGTCTTAGGTGGTACAAAGGGCCAAAGACCCACATTATCCCTTAAGGAGCCATACACCAAAGGCATGTCAAGTTTGGTATATATAAAAAGCCAATTTCATAACCTACAGTAATCTGTTGATTTATAAGATTGTAGCATGTGCCTTTCTGATTGGATGGGGGCTCGTTCAATGACACCCTCTATAAGGCCAACAATAAGTTACTGCACAAGCCAGATGGAGATCTCCCTTATCAAGAAAAGGGCATCTGCCGAGAGACTTGTTTCTAGATAGCCAATCTCAGATCCATTTCTGCTTGATTGTCTGGGCTTTGCTGGAACCCATAGAACCCAGGACTATCTGTCTTATTCCTTTTTTGTTTTGCTGTTGTAATATGTTACTCTTGTGTAACATCTTTTCTGTGTTTTTTGTTTTTTGCACATTTTGCTTTATTAAAAACGATTCTTAAAAATCGCTAAACTCCTCTTCTCTACCCTCTAAACTTTGTGACCCTAAACTTGGGGTGTTAAATCTTAACACATTCAAGTACCTTAAATATTCACAATACGGGAACCTATTTAGGTATCCCTCAGCTGTAGATTAGCAAATCCTCTTTGAATTGGTGCTGACACTGTCCTTCCTTCTGGAGGGTGGCTACTTTTATCCCCATGGTCCCTGTGTGTGTTGTAAAATAGCCACCGCTCCAAGTTCACTCACGTGATGCACTACAATCTCAATACAAATTAGTTGGCTAAATGTGAGACTAGTCCATCACGTGAGGGAGCTTGGAGCGGTGACCACTTTACAACACACGCAGGGACCATGGGGAACAAATCCCTAGTGATAATTTGATGGATCTACAGCCGAGTGATATATAAATAAGATACATTTTTGTTATGAGGTAAGGTACTTGAATGCATTTTTAAGATTAAATCCTGAGTTTAGTGTCACTCTAAAAAAATCCTTGTCTCTGTGAAGAGCGCTACCATATTGTAAAACCTATAATATATCTCTCTGGAGGGAGAGTAAGCATCACAGCCATTGCATAAGATTAGAATTGCAACATCATTTGATGAACAGTGCGTGTTTCTGTTTAAAACATGTAGTGTTTGTGTGTAAAGGATTAACGGTGGAGTTAACCAACCCCAGTGACTATTGTTCTGTCTGCTAGCCTTAATTGTTTTTCAAACTGGAAAACTTCTGTGCAGTGTGAGGCTGAGACTGGTTCCCCCATATATATTTGTGGCAGCGGTGGGATCTGAGCTGCCGATTTTGTCACAAGTTGTTCTTTAAATTTGAGCTTTTCTTATTTGCTGCGGTCTGTTTAAATGTGCACACCCAAGTTTGGCCATGGCCTATACCAGCTCAGATTTTAGACCAATGCTGAAGCACTTCATTGGCCCATTAGTACTTTTACACAGGCACTATTGGGCTGGTTTAGGACAAACTAGGCCACTGCCAGGGATGCTAAACCAGTTGGGGGAATCTTTAAATAAAAAGTGAGAAATAAAGCTAACTGTGGAAGCACCCTGGCGGTGTTACTTGTTCTCATAATTCTCAATATGAACTGCTTGGTGTACAGGTAAATATAGAGAAATTTAGGTAAAAATCATATGATATCGGAGAAATTCAGTCATTCCATACACTGATTGCATGTAGGTGACGGATTGCTTTATTTTCAGTGATAGTGGTCGTTTTTTTGTTTTTTTTCCCCCTCATACTATAAGTAATTTTAGTGTTTTACCTCCCTAAAAACCTGTGGCATATTTATGCATGCAGACCTTTTTGTTGCTATCTTAAGATGAGGACAGCAAGGACAAAATGTCCGCACCATTTCGACAGGGCTTTCTCTGCACCATGTATTTCCCCAGCAGACATGTGAGTAGTGAGCTCTCAGATCTTAAAGAACTATGAGGCGAGTGATTTACACTCCTCATAGTTCGAGCCGACTGAGGATGAGTGTGACATCAATAAAACTGTCGCACGTTGGCTCTATTGATCGGGAAGTGACCGGGCACATACCATCGCTCACTCACTTCCTGATCATCTCCCTGCAGAGAGTGGTGACAGTCGGGCATTCCCCTCATCCCCTCAGCGCTGACTGAAGGAACAGACAGGTGAGGGGGTGGGTACAGCTGGCTCTGCCTCTATATAGGCAGAGCCCGCTGTCACTCAGCCAGCTGGGTGGATCTCAACAGTATTGTCGGGATCCTTTCCGGCTGCGGCGCTTTCAGTATATAGCGGGCAATAGCCTGCTATATACTGAGCTTTGGTCACGGGAGGACGTTGGAATATGTCCTCCCGTGACCTTAAAGGGAACTATGGGATAAAAAGGTTACCCCATAGTTTTCAAGTCATCTGGATTCTTTCCATGTTGTCCTTGAGCTATGTATATCACATTGTCATGTGATCATTCCAATGTTTGGTAAAGATAAAAAAACAAAACACATAAACTGATGTAAGAGAATATTTCTAGGGATCATAGCAAAGATACTTGCGCCAGTACAGGTGATGTTCAATCTTGTATGAAACCTTTGAATGTTTTATACATGTGCAGGCTAGGGGTGAATTAATAAAACTTTTCAAACCCAATGTTTTTCTTTTTTTTTTTTTAATATTGGTAGATCTCAAGAAGCATACAACAGATGACAACCCAGATAAAATTAAGCTTGAGAAGGCTATAGAATCTCTTAAAGAGGTGATGACGTAAGTAACCTGTTCTGCATACTAAATTGTTCCTGTGGTTTATCTTGGGGCTCGTTCACAATAGCGTGCACGCCAACACGCTGTTTTTTAGCATGCAGAATAGCATCTGTATGAGATTTGTCAATATTTTAATGTTTTTATATAACACTCTATACATATCTCTGCATAGCAATGCACAGAAATGCAGCTTGTCTACATTTTACACACTGCACATCACTAACGTACAGTGTGAATGGGGCACATGGAAAACAAGGTTTTTTTATGTTCCGTAGTAGTGACCTGTGTTTTTTTTTTCTTCTGCAGAAAAACACAGGCCATCACATACCACAGGGGCAGGCCCTTATGGACATTTTCTTCTGTTATTAGCTCTAGATGAACTGTTTAATCTTTCTGGCTTGTTACTGATAACAATTTGCAAATTACATCTAATTATATACAAGTGGGTATGTAACATTTGTACAAACTTCACTCTCGTTAAGTAGCCTTTTAACATTGCCATCTTTAAAAACACAAGGCTTAAACATCCTCTTAACGAAATGTTTTCTTTTTCTTGCCCTTTACTGTATGCGAAGAGGTACCTAGATAAACATTACATTGATGTAATGCAGTCACTGATCTATTCATTTCAGACAGCCAGAGCTTTTACAGTCTTTTATCTAACCAGCCTTTTTATGTATTCGTACATACTATAGTATTAAGCTGTTAAACCGGGAGAGATGTGGTAATTTACTAGACAGAATTCTTCTTTTTTCCCCCTAAATTTACAGTCATATTAACGAAGATAAAAGGAAAACTGAAGGGCAGAGGCAGATCTTTGATGTGGTTTATGAAGTGGATGGATGTCCTGTAAGTATTCACTTCAGATGTACATGTGCCGTATAATTCAAATGCATGGCGCTGGTAATTAATGAAACTTGTGCAGTTAGTACCCATTTAGTGAATTTGCTAGTCTGTTATGATTCTCTGTGCAGTAATTTTCTCCTTTTTCATATAGATTGTGGTTTTGTGGTCTGCAATATGTAGTGTAACCTTTTTCATTATTCCCACTTTTGTTATAGGCAAATCTATTATCCTCGCATAGGATGCTGGTACAGAGAGTGGAAACGATTGCTCTTGGGGAAGATCTGTGTGACAGAGGAGAACAAGTCACACTCTTTCTATTTAATGATTGCCTTGAGGTGAGACTATATTGAATTCTAACATCTGAGGAAATGTGGGGCGGTCTGCTAGGAAAATTTAAATGGAGGGAAGACTGTTCTGAAAATTCAGAACATATCCTGTTACATTCAGAGAAATGTGAAGGAACTGTCAACATTTCATGCTCAAAATCCTCTGAAATTGTGCTAAGCTCCAGGGATTGCAAGCGGCAAAAATAATTGCTGCACAGTATTATAAATTGATTATCTATACGTGTAACATGGATGAAAGGTCAAAGATGTGCAGATTGGCAGATGAATAATGAAGGCAGGTTTCTGATTCATTGTTAAAGTGGCCCCGATCTTATTTTTAAAGAAGAAACGTAAATAGAAATGACATGATAAAAGCTATGGTATACAGTGAGTGGCTTACAATCCATTTAACATGATGTACTTACTGTGACAAAAATAACATCTTTTGTCCTCTTGCTAATGCTCCATAAATTACTGAAAACTCAACTGGGTGATAACAGTGGTTAACATGTTACAGCCATGTGGTTTGAGGTATATCTGCTTCATGGCTGGAAAGAACAAAGATCCCCTTGAACCATGGTCCAGTAGACTCAAACTATTTAGACTAAAACTGCTTTCTTTTTCATTGAGAGAGAAGGGATTCGGAGACCTTTTGTGGGGCATCCTCTCGACTACTACTAATGCAATGTATTATAAATTGATAATTTACACAGTTTTGTGAAACACCCGGTACCGGGTGTTCGCATTGGACGGGTCTTTTCTGCCCGTGCGTGCCCGCTAGGGGGTGCGCGCGAGCAGAAAAAAATTGCCGTCTGGAGACGGCAACCCGCAGATGCTGCAGTGCCGTCCGTCCGTTTTTTTACTACGGGTGGACGGCAAGAGGTTAAAGTGACCAGCCTGGTTATAACTCTTCCTCCTTCCAGTGCCCTAGAAAGATTCATGTCTTTTCTCTGAGAAAAGTTGAATGGCTTTTAATAAAATATAATTTTTTTCCAAAACCTCGTTTGCACACCTCCTTATGCTAGACTCTTTATGCAGCGATCTGGATCAGCATATCCTCAGCAGTGGCTCTAGGGGCTGGACAGGATGATTGCGGGGCCTGCCTGGAATGTGAGCTTCAGGCATTAGGCTGTGCTTGTGGTAGTTTCTGCACCTCAATGTACTGTTAGCTGCAGATCGCTTTTCAGGTCCAGAACTGTGGCCCAACCTTTGGTTTGACCCAGTCTCAAAACGTATTTATTAGTAGGCAGTGTAGGCTCACCACTGGCAGCTACTTCTTTTATTAGACCTGTTGAGCACCATTTGTAAACGCTGAGGAATTGAGTGCTGCATCATTAGGTGGGGTGTCGTGCACTCACACTCTATGCTCTGAGATAGCACATTCCTGCAACTGCTCCTTATCACAAGAGACAACGGTTTCACCTTGATTAGTCCCTGCTGTTGTCGACACGGTCTACGACAGCTCGTCTCCGGCCATTTGAAAGTTTTTCTGTTCCAGCAGTTTTATAAGTGCTTAAGGTTATCTTATTTTTGAGCTACATTTTTACCATTTGTGGGCAACATGTAGATCACAAACACAATGGTACCAGTCCTGCTGTACTAGGTCTCTCTGCAGCCTGAAAGTGGTAGAGTTCATATGCAGGCTGAAGACTCTCAATGAAGCATCAAGCTTGCATGTGATCGCTGCGCCATAGCTGGCATTGTAGTTTCATGAACGGGAACCATGCTGATTGGTTTTCAGCAGTCTGCGGACACCCAAGCCATTAGTGACAACTGGATCTAAGAGCAGTCGGCTGTAGCAAGTGGCCACCAATGGCTCTGAAATGGGAAAATATTTATAAAAAATATACCCAGCATGGATCATTACGCTGGGGATATTTCTATACAGATGGAGGTTGGAAGGAGTGAAGCAGCCCTCTAAATCTGTATTTTGTGATGCTAGCTTCAGTGCTTTCAGTGGGTAACCACATGCAAACAGTTTCAAAGTACTGAAGCCATTGAATTGGCATTATGGCCAGGCAACTAACCTTTTCAAATGCGGAGGTCAGCAACAGTACAGGTCACCTTTTCAACTCCTAGAATGCCTGCTTAGATTAAAAAAGTAATTTGTGCAGAATATCTTCTATGTGCTTGTTTAGCTATGCACCAAGTAACATTTTCTTTGTTTTGTAGATTGCAAGGAAAAGGCATAAAGTCATTGGTACATTTAAGAGCCCTCATGGCCAAACAAGGCCACCTGCATCCCTTAAGCACATAATCTTGATGCCACTGTCGCAGATAAAGAAAGTCCTTGATATCCGGGAAACTGATGGTTAGTAAAACCTTCTCTTATGGCACTGGTGAGAGACTACATGGGCAGCTAGAATTATACCTGTTCCAAACATGGGCAATGTAAACTTATTATAATAAAAGTATACATAATCGGAGTATCTTTAGTGCTAATGTCTTTTAACCCTTTCACTGCCACAGACTTCTCATATGTCGTTGGCAGCAGGGCCCATTCAAGCAGACTATAGCTGCTATACAGCTCTGTTTACATGTAAAGCCGACTGTTGGGTTTACACTGGTCTGGAATGCACTGGAACCATGGGCAGGTTCACACCATTTTCAGGACCATATCTGTAATGTGGCGCATTGCATGTTTTTTGTTTTGTTTTTATAGCTTAAAATGGGCTTCCAGGTGCATTCCAGTGTTTTGTATACAATTTTTATGAGTTTCTGTGCATTCCAGACCAGACATAATGAGACCTGCAGTATTGGTCTGGTCTGGAATGGACTGCACTGGTGTGAACAGAGGACAGAAATAGCATAGGGGATACATTGGGATGCATTTTGGTTCCGGAAACGGTCTGGTCTGGAGATGATCTGGATGTGCTGTGAACGGGCCCTAAGTGCTGACAAAACTTGCTCCCGCCCCAAGCTTTGAAAAACTCTGTTGGTGGGCTGACCAGGGAGATCAAATCTACCATGTTTCACTGGAAGACTAGCATGCGCTTATATGCCAGGGCTTTGAAGTTAATTTCTATCCAGGAATTATTCCACAGTTTCTACTGTAGCAGCTTTCAGAGATGAGACCTTTTTTAAAAGTCATTAGTGTGGTCCTTCAAGTTTAATTTGTGATGTGCAGTAGGGGAGATTTCTTCTTGCGTCATCTGCTGCTAGCACTAGTTATCGGGACAAGTGGCACTGGATCATGGATTCAGAAAGCAGTACATGTTTGACAGATTCTAACCCATTCCCTACTGTATGTGCAAGTTTAAATGTTGCATGTACTGTAGAGAAATGTGGAGGCTGCAGTTGTTGACCCCTAATTTTGCTTGGCTATCATGGCAATCCTGCGGTATTTACACATCAGCTGGGTTGAAACGTGATATGTACATGAAGTGTACACTGGTGCTCTCTATCCAGTCCTAAATTTCTGGACGGTGCTCCAGCTATCTACAGGCTGAATATGGAAATCCTGGAATGTTCCCAGTTTATTACATCTATAGTGCTGTTTTCTCTGCAACAGTCCTGCAGTTTAGTCACTTTTGTTCCAGTTCACTATTTAATTCTGGCCACTATGTCTAAGTACACTTTATGGAGTCAATCCAGAGCTGAGGCAGTTTACTTGGCCCTGTCTCTCCAACTTCCTGTTGTGGGTACTTTGCAGACGTATGCTGGGTTTAGGTATTTTAAGTACTGAGCATACATATGTGGTATTTGCTACAGTAGCAACTGTAGCCAACTGGCAGTTTTGAGTAAGGAGTTAACATTCTGTTTTTATTTTTGAGCTTATGTAATTTGCAAGTTGGCCACGTGGGGGAGACCTGATCTTTTATTTTTGCTTAGATATACAACGAGAAGTTGTTAGATTTAAATTGGAAGTAAATACAACACTTTTGTTGAAGGATTAGAACTGCTGCCAGGTTTTTCTTGCAGCTTGTGTCCACATTAAGGAGATTCGCCCTTTCTTTGTCCTGGTAAATGTTATTACCAAGTGTGAAAAAATCCCAAATTTTGAGTTTTCACCAGAACAGGAATAGAGGGAAGTCGTCCAATGGAGAAGGTATTTCCCTCACTTTGGTGGGATTTCCTTTAACTTATACCTTCCCTTACTCTAACCAAGATGAGAGGAAAGTTTGTGATGCAGATTTAAATAAGGAGGGAGTGTACATGCTGGAGCCAGCCTTTGCATCAGGGTGTTGGTTTTAAAGCCATTTCTGTGTGATTTACAACATCTGTTGTGTGCAGTTTTTCCCATGCAGCAGCACCACCTACACTGAAGCAGATATTAAAATGTCATCCTTTTGCTTCTGAAGAAACCATTGGATTCCTATCCAGCGTTTTTGTGTGGTTTTTTTTTTTTTCTTTATACTTTTACAGGGATAATTTGGGTCTTAAACCCTTAGCTTTGTTTTGTTTGTCCTTCACTTCTGTCATTGGCAAGCAGAAGTCCCACTTCTGTAAAGAGGTCTCCTCTTGTTTTGTTCAGCCGTCTGCTGAGGATCATCTAAAGGGAATTTGAACAGCTAGCCACAGTATGTGGGGTTTCCAAATTTCATTAGTGATCTCCTCACTACTGCAATGAATCCCTTCCTTATAGTATTGTGTGGACAAATGGCTGTGTGTGTGGTGGTTTTTGTTTTTTTTCTTCCATTTCTGTTAAACAGCCAAAAGCTTCTCTGTATTCATGCATGGGCACTGTACAATTCTTATATACAAAGTTTGTTTTTCACGGTACATCACAGGGACATGAGACACTGACAAAGCTGAAAACCCAGTGCTGCATTACCCCTTTTCAGCATGCCTTCAGTTTTGTAGCAAGCATTACTGGAGTGATCAGACAGTGTAGGGACCTGTGTTCTGTGATATATCTTCAAGGATATACAGGTATGTTACATTTTGCACATCGCAGGACACGGGGTTGGATAATTCATAGACAAGTGGGACCTCTAAAAGCAATCCCTTAAGTTGTGGGCAACAAACGGGTAACAGGCCCTGTTCTTCAAGAAAAGGATCTTACAGGTAAATAAAAAATCCTATTTGGTTTCTCTGCGTGGTCTTCAGGGGACAACATTTTATTGGAATGATCCCAGATTGTTTCTCTGGGATGAAACTTGCTGCAAAAGCACCCATTTTCCTTAGCGGAAGAAGCCCTACAGAATAGACCAAGTCATTCTTGATTGATAAAAGAAATGCTCCTTTCGTTTTCTCCACTTTCACATCAAGACCCTCCCAGCCTGGTTCCCTATCCCTATGCAAGGTATAGCACTCAGAACTCATTTGTTAACCTTTACGGACACTAGACCACTTTCATCCCAGCTTGGTTTCAGGAGTCGGTGTCCGAAGGCTTCAAACCAGAGTCACTTCCTACCTCCTACCTATGAGAAAAGAAACATAAAAAAATGAAACTGGATGTTTCTTAGTAATTCAAAAATTCCTTCTATGCTACTGCTTGATAGTCTGTCCCTGCCTCCCCTGTTTCTCACCTCCAAACTTCCCGTGCCACCACACAGCTTAATAGATCTCCATCAAGCCCCCTCTGGTCTTTTGCATTAAGAGTGACCAGATTATTATGACCACCTGACGTTTGTAGGCAAATTAGCTATAATTTTGCGCTGAAGTTGCTAGAGGGCCAGACCATTATAAATAGGGAAGCAGGTTGTTTACCACGACAGTAGAAGTGATTTTTTTTCTGAAGATATGGGTAAACAACGTGATTTAACAGCCTTTGAATGTGGGATGATTGTTGGTGCTCAGAGCCATGGAGCGAGTATCAGCAAAACGGCAGAATTCGTTAAATGTTCAAGAGCAGCTGTTAAAGTGTTTAAAGACTGGACTGTCAGCCGAAAATCTGGGTCTGAACGTGTGAATTGTGGCCGTCAGCGACTAGTCAATGTTAGGGCAGAACGGAGAGTGGCAAGACTGGTACAAGACAACAGAAGGGCAACAGTGCATCAAATTACTGCAGATCTTAATCAGGGATCCTCTCAAATGATCTCTGAATGCACTGTTCGCCGTACACTGCATCAGGACCTGGATAAAATAGGGGAGTGGGCATTAATGTGGCAGATGAGGTTTAATGTCGATAAATGCAAAGTAATGCACTTTGGAATTAAAAATAAACAAATGGGTTATACAATTATGGGTATGCCGCTAGGGAAGTCAGAAATGGAGAAGGATTTGGGGGTCATTGTAGACCACAAACTGAAAGGTAGCTTGCAGTGCCAGGCTGCTGTAAACAAAGCTAGCAGGGTCTTGTCCTGTATTAAAAAGGGGATGTATTGCAGGGACAAGTCTATAATTTTGCCACTTTATAGATCATTGGTTCGACCTCATCTGGAGTACGTGGTCCAGTTCTGGTCACCAGTACTAAGAAAAGATGTCCTTGAGTTGGAAAAAGTCCAGCGGAGGGCAACCAAACGTATTTAGGGGTATGGAGGACCAGAGCTGGGAGACAAGGCTACTAAATTTAAAACATGTTCACATTGGAGGTGAGGAGATTAAGGGGGGGGTATGATCTCCATGTACAAAATGTTCAATGGTGGTAGCAACATTAGCGATAAACTGTTTAAAATTAACTCCATTACAAAAACTAGAGGCCACCACCTAAAATTGGTGGAAAAAAAATTCCAGCACAAGGGGCGAAGGGGGTTCTTCACAGTAAGATCAGTTAGGGTCTGGAACTCACTGCCACAGGCGGTGATTTCAGCAAATAATGTGGAATTGTTCAAGAAACTTTTGGACGATTTCTTAAGGGACCGTAATATATAAAGGGGTACAGGTACTCCTGGAATGAGATCCTAATAGGTTGACTTGATGGACTAATGTCTTTTATTCAACCGCAAATACTATATATATGGGATATGGAAGCCGAAGGCCTGTTCCAACACCTTTGCTGTCTGCAGTTAACAAGATAAAACGTCTCCAATTCGCACAGGAACACAAGGATTGGACAGTCGAGCATTGGAAAAAAGTTAATTGGTCCGATGAATCACGTTTCCAGTTGCATCATGCAGATGGCAGAGTGAGAATTTGGCGGGAACAGCAGGAAAGCATGCACCTCACATGCATGAGTGAAACCCTTCAAGTTGGTGGGGGCAGTGTGATGGTTTGGGGCATGTTTTCCTGGCATGAGTTGGGCCCTTTAATTTGTGTGGAACAACGTCTGAATAGCACAACATACCAAAGTATCGTTGCTGATCAAGTTCATCCTATCATGTTGGTGTATTCCAATGGAGATGGCTTCTTCCAACAAGACAGTGCTCCATGCCACGGTGCTCACATTGTGCAGGAGTGGTTTCAAGAACATGAGGGAGACTTTACCTTGCTTAGGTGGCCCCCACAATCACCAGATCTCAATCCAATTGAGCATTTGTTGTAGAGCTGCAGCTAACGATTATTTTCAAAATCGATTAGTTAACCGATTATTGAGTTCAGTTAATCGGATGCAAAATAAAACATTTTAAAAAATGCCTCCAGTGATGGACTACTAGTTTGTATTGAGATTGCAGTCCATCACAGGAGCAAGCTTGGAGCTGTGGAAGTAAAAAACAAAAGAAAAAAAAGTGTGTGCAATATAGTGAAATAAAGTGTAAAATTATACAGCAATGATGAATGGCATCGGCTATAGAGGACTACAAAACCCAGCAATAGTACATTATACAGCACAATGCAGAATACTACCAGCTATAAAGGAATACAACAAATCCCAGCAATAGTACATTATAGCTGGCGGTATTCTGCATTGTGCTGTATAATGTACTACTGCAGGGTTTTGTAGTCTATAGCTGGTGGTATTGCGCTGTATAATGTGTTATTTCTTGATTTTGTAGTCCTCTATACAGCCCAATGCAGAATACCACAAGCTATATAGAAATATATATGGTACATTGCTCTGTATAATATGCAGCACAATGTACCATCAGCTATAGAGGACTACAAATCCCAGCAATACATTATAGAGCACCATGTCTGGGAAAGTGCAGGCTTACCTCCGCAGTCTTCCAGCAACTTGTTTCTGAGATCGGGCCTGTATCGGTGGCGGTCATCCGCCCTCCCACACCTGCTCCTCCTCCTTACTTCTTCTCCCCGCATCCCTGTGCCAATCGTGGATGTGAGGCGGGGAGGAAGTGCGGCGTGTGGAGCGTGAATGCGGCCGGGTGGGTCTGGCAGCAGCGAGCGCGAGGTGTGGAGGAGTTGTGGCGCGCAGCGTATGTGGAGCTGTGAACAGGGCCAACCAATCAAAAGCCGATTAATCGATGATTGAAAAAGTTGACAACTTTTTCAATCATCGATTGTAATCGATTATGCCGATTAGTTTTTGCAGCCCTAATTTGTGGGACGAAGTTGAAAGCCATCAGGCAGCTGGTTCCACAACCATCAAATCTCACAGAACTGGACAGTGCTATTCATCAGGCATGGTGTCAGATTCCTCGCATCACCTTTCAACATCTCGTGGAGTCAATGCCAAGAAAAATCGCCGCAGTATTGAAGGCAAAAGGTGGCCCAACGAAGTACTGATGGGGTGGTCATAATAATCTGGCTACTCCAGTGTATGTCCCGGTTCTTTAACTGAACATTTCTATTTCGCAGGGACCCTTCATCAGAGTGACATAGTGAGAAGGATGTTGACGCCTCATTTGATGCCAGCTTGGTGTAGTTCCTTCAGGCAGCTGTCTGAGCTGTACACATTCCCCAGTTTTCCTGTTAGTGGTTTCTGTGTTTCCCCAAGCCACTATTGGACTGCTTTTGGACTTCTCGACATTCTTAAAAATAACTTTGTCCCCCAGTGGACAAAGAAAATGCAATCGGTTTCTTGGGTCCATAGTGACAAAGGCCCCACTCCTTAGTTTATGTTCATGCTTGCAGTATGAATTTGCTTCAAAACTGAGGCAAGCTGGGTAGGGTTAGCCTGTACTGGCTTAGAATTGCCAGTGTCATTTTTCTGGTAGGGGGCAGTATAACCCAGCGGTATAAGAATTTTGTCCCCAAGTGACTCCAAGAAAAGGCTTTACAGGGAGTATATAAAAATCCATTTTTTTTTTCTCCAGCTGCTGTTCAGTACACACTCTCTTTTTCCCTCTAAGTGGTATTGATGAGCCCATATCTGTTACTTTGCACTCTCCTCCTATCTGCATGTTCCTAATACTACATAACAACTGATTGCCTCCTTGTACTGCTTCTCCCTTCCCCGGTAATTCTTTTGTACAGTTATTGCAAAGGGCTGATACCCAAACAAGTTCAGGTACTTGCAGTGTTTGGATTAAAATAAATCGATCAAATGATTGAATACAGAACTGCCTAGGGTGTGTTTTCAAATACAAGTACTGATACTTGTCCATGTCCTCACAGATACAAGTACTGATACATTTTTGTTGTCATGTGACAGTTTTTCTAAAACAATACAGACTAATATCTGGACAGTGGTGGAGCGCCAGAGCTAGGTCCCAGCTGCAGCCGCTGCAACCCTGGTAGTTCTCATGAAAATGCCACGTATCGGCACTGGTATCTGAACATCTCTACTTGCACTGTATATTCAATTTTACGCCACTATATTGATTTGCTATTACTATTATTGTGAGCTATGAGAGCAAAACAAGGTTAAAGTATGGGTGAAAAGAATACTGTTCTAAATAAATAACAGACTTTATAGCTTGGTAAATTGAGCCTTGTGTGCTGTGATTACTTAAACACTGCGAATGTAACGCACACTTTTTTCTGTTTGTATCTCGCACATGTTGCTGCTGTTTTCTGGATGTTTTTCCTTGGATAGGAATGTCTTTGGTTCCTCACTAGATGGCAGCAGAGGTTTATGCACTTTATGTTCCAGTTATTTTTGTTCACCAGGCTTCTTTTAGGATTGGGGTTTTCAAAATTGACTTGTTTCTGCAATTTCTCTTTCCAATTTCAAAAAGAACAAATTTCTATATTTGCATGCCCCTTTTTTATAGGAAAATTTGATTTATACTACTGATCCTGATTCATTAGAAGTGAACACAAGAGATGTGGATAGTACATTAAGTCGGGCATCGAGAGCTATAAAGAAAACTTCCAAGAAAGTAAGTTCATATGCTATGTTACTTGTTTAGCAGCATTTGTATTCCTGCTAATATACTATGTACACTGACGCAGATGGATATATTTTTGTGATTTTAATGGACCTTGAGAAGTTTGCTCATTATGTTTCTGCTAGCTCGGATAACTGTATCAAATGACTTATTTATTGCCTTTTTATAGGTCACAAGAGCTTTTTCATTCTCGAAGACGCCCAAGAGAGCCCTGCAGAGGGCGCTAATGGTACATAATACTCCAGATAACAGGAGTCCTGGCCCAAGCACTGAGGGATTTGCTAGCAGTCGCATGCCAAGTACCACTTCTTTAGCAGTAAGTACACCTCCATTTTTTTCACAACTGTTGTCATATGGCTTTTCACATAACTGGTGTAACAGTGATAATAACCTATCTTTTTTTTTTATATGCAACTTTTACTATATATCATATGCACATCGAGTAATTATTGCATTCATTTTCATCGGTCTATGTTGGTTTTCCATAAGGGTATAATTTGTTTTTTTTGGTGGGGGGGGGGCGTTTTTTGTTTACTTCAATGTACGCCTGGGTCTGGGACCTTGTTGATCTCCCAAGGCATTATTAGAATCTCGCAGATTCCACCTTTTTATATCATTTTCCTTTACAAAACAGGATTGTGCAGTTATGCAGTAAAATATTTAAAGCTGTCTCTTTGCTAATCTGATTCTGACCCAATAATATTTGTGAAGTCGTCCTGTTTATTTTAACTTATCTGTTAATATATCAATTGCATGAGGACAACATTTTGGCGAGGGGGGTGGTCGATTAGTCATATGATGTTTTATAGCTCCCAATTTCAAATTCGCCATTTAGACTGTGCCTGGTCTTTCTGGCAAACTACTGAAATCCCAATCTGCTTTTTATCATGCCCTCCTTTTGGAAAATATTCAGTTTCTACAAACTAGAATGTGGAATGGACAGAAGTGCTATCCTTCCAAAACTGGGACATGCAATAGATATGGATTTAGGTGTGGGCACAAATGTTTGACAAGCTGCAGTCCTTTAATTCTACCAAACCCAATACAGGCGATTTAGACTATATAAAATCTGTTTAGATATATATTTTAACTGTATAGGTTAAATTTACTCTTGTTTCATTTTTTTTTTTTTCTTCTACAAATCATTCATTCCTGTCTGTAGATTACCCGTTCTTCCTCTACCTTCAGCATAAATGGACCTTCTAAACACAGTAGTGTGCAACGATCTAATTCCCTTGATGGGAACTCGCAAAGTCCCAGATCCCGTTCACTCCTTTGCCCTGGTTCCCCTATCAGTCACATTCCTCGTTCTTTGAAAGGAGAGACGAGTCATTCTACCCCACAGCTATACTCCTCTGGCCAGTTGGGTGAAACGCTTACTATACCCCATCTTGTTACATCTGAAAGTACAGGAGAAAGTGAGCAGGCCATTGACACTTCCTGTGGCAAGACATCCATTTTCATCCACAAGGACCGCAAACCTCCGTGAGCTTCCAACTTTGTTTTCTATATACACTGCCACTTCACCAATGGTCACACTACCTGGCACTAGATGTTTTTTCACACTGGTGATTAAAGGGTACTACCATCAATGCCTGTCTTTCATTCTTTCTTTCCAAGGAATTTGTAATTGCATATATATATAGGAATAACATATATATATGGGAGAATATATATATTCCCAGCAGCACATTGTAAATGGTTGTGGCTGGCCAATATTGTACTTTACAGGACTGTTAAAGCTGAAACAAATCTAACAGAACTTATACCATTTTCCAAATTGTAAGTTACTTGAAATATTTGTCTATACATTATCCGTTAATGTAACGACAGCAGTTTCCATATTATTGACCATTATGGGCTAAAAAGGGCTTACATGAGACTGTTCAGAGTCTCTTATGTTGCATTACAGAGCAGGTTGTCAGCTGTGTAAAAAATGTTCTATTAAACCAAGCTGTAAATTTTAATATTATTGTCCCTTTTTATGTAGCTGTCCATGCGAGTAAAATATTTTACAGCACATTTTATTTGCTTAAAGCATACTGTGTTTAATGTTTAGTGACCCTTAACCTTTTATATTCGGATACAACGTTAGAGCAAATCAAATGAGTAGTTGACAAACAAAACTTGGAAAGAAAGAGCCTTTGTTATATTCACCAGTTGCACTACATGGTGGGGCTTTACTCCATCTCCGAAGGTTTCTTTTCTAGAGTACTCGTTTGTTTTGCTGTTTGATGTCTGCATTTGCATAACTACAGTAAATAGGTAAAAGCTTTACATTTGCTGCAGCACCAACCAGAGTTTACCCAGTGGCTCAATAGATTACTCGGAATAAAAGCCATGTTCCTCTTTGTAAGGTATTTTTGCTAAAACTTCAGAGTAGTTTGAGTAGTACTCGATTTCACATATTTAAAATGTATGCACTCTCAATTGGGTAACATTGGCAAGAAATGTACTTGCTTTAGTGGGTTGCTCACCAAGAGTCCCTTGGCGTGTGTCTGTTTTTTAACATGGCATATAATTTGTCAGTTTATGGAATTGCTACATACGCCACTTTCTTTCCTAGAATTCTCCTAATTTGGCCTTACTTTCTCTCAAAGCTCTGGATGAAGGTTAAAAGAATATTTCTAAAGAGAAACCTGGAGGCTGCCACTAGAATGCTTGATCTCAAAATACTAGTTACCTAGCTGTCATACTGAACCTCATCAATACTTTCCATAATTAACCCAAAACTAGTATACAGATGCTGACTAATATGCTCTCCAAGTCAGTGACTTGTATTATGAAACCCAACCCAGAGGGTCACCATTACTAACCTTCTCAGCAGGTGGTCAATAAGGATTAACTCAAGTTTAGACTGAATCTGGACCGAACCTGTGCTTATCCAAACAAGGGAGTGGTATGGGCACTTCTAACCTTCCAACCTATCGGCCAAGCATTCTCCACCCTTCATCTGCATATAAATAAGAGGGGGATGCTTGCGCTGACGTCATTTACTAATATATGGCCACATTTGGGTTAATGTCATTTACCAAACCTGGGCATGTAGTCTTATAACGTCAATTACATCACTGCATCTCATCTCTGTGTCAAGCTGTTGACTGAATTCCCCACCAGCAGCTGATTGAGGGGCACAGAAGGAACTTGCGTTCATATTCGGGAGGAGTGCCTTTTGAGTTTGGAAGAGCTCCAGTTCAGACTGGGTTTGTTCCCAGCCTTAGCTCATCCCCTGATGTTCAACAATGGTAGTATAGGATCAAACCAGACCATCCATTTCAAGGAAAGGGACTTCCCTGGCAATGCCCTAGGAGACATTTACAAGGTCTACACCTCTTGGGTGTGATTTTTATTTTTATTACATCTCTGGGGTTTATGCTGCTTTTGTCTGTTGTGGAGATTTGCCAGTGCTTTCTATTCCGGTGATGACAGTGATGGGATAGCTCCCCAACAGTGTCGGTGTAGTTCTTTTCTATTCTATCCAGGGATACAAAAAAAGTACAGTGTCCAAATATAAACAGAAGCAGGTAAGTATTTTTAGCAGTCTGGCAAAATCCCTGCAAATTATGTAGGTGTCCTGGAGTTTTCCTTTTTTAATTTCTTTTAAATGAGCCATTGCTAGTGCTCTAAACTGCATGGAAAGATTTTTTTTTCACCTCCCAATTTTTTTTTTCTTCCAGAATGTCCAATCTCCTTCTTTGATTAACTTGTTTGAGCGGAAATACCATACGTTCAGTCGTTCAACAACCCATCTTATCTGAACGCTGACGAGGCTTTATCCTGCAATGACTGACAAAAGCTGCTGTCTGTTAAGACTTTCTGATCCAAGATGGTACTTCTTCCCTCGTAGCACTTCTCAGCAGCTTGCAAAGGACATGCATTGGATTTTGTAAAAATGTTATATAAAGTAAAAGTGTTATATAGTGCTCATTCATCAGAGGATTTGTGAGTGTTTGTGCACAGGGAAAATGTCTTCTCCTTTTTTAATGTTTTTTTTGTCAATTTTTGTGTAACGTGATCCATGTATTATGAAAGACGGCCATTTACCTACATGTTTTACTAAAATATGTCCATCAGATGAGGCTTTACAGTCTGAATCCGTGCGAACATAATTACCTTTTTAAATCCTTTATCTTTAATTGAAACTCCAGCCAACAATACCTGTTAAAATTCAGAAGCTTTACATGACAAAGGGTTTACATTTCTGTCCAGCCATTTTTATTTTCAGAAACCTCTGCCATGCTGCACAGCCAGAGAGATGACAGTTTACTGATTCAGCTTCCAGTGTTGCATTGCCTCCACTAAGAATCTGTGCAGTTAAAGTAGAAAATAGTGAAGTGATCTTCCTGATTACACAATTTGATAAGTGAGTGGAGAGTGTGAATCGTAAGACTGGCTGTAAAGAAATCTAAGCATTGGATTGGTTAACATTTAACGCTGCGCCTTCAAAAATTCCAACTGGCATCTAACTTCTAGTGGTCAATGGAGTTGGTTCCTTAAAAAAATCCTACTGGCTCCTGGATTGGACAGACTTGCTCCATAATCCAATATTAATCTGTCCACCCCTGATTTGACATGTATATGTATAACTGTGTGTTTAGTATTTTGCCTTAATTTCAGCTATATGAACTGTTCTTGGGTACCCCACTGTCACCAATTAGATTCATACATAAATCCTGCAGATCTGAATGGTGGCTGTAGGGCAGCACAGGATGGTTATTAAGGAACTCATAAATGAGGCAGACTATGAAAGCTAATATTCCTTACGTGTGTGGCATATAAAATGATATGGCTCCCACTTCATGCACAAAAGAGCTGAACTAGTTCTTAATGAAGTGTTTGCTAATAAGCCACTGGGTCCTTTTGGTTAATGTGCCTAGGCTGCACATTATACCATATATAAGTTGATATTGGGAATATACATAAGGATTTTTTGTGCTTTCATCCTTCTAACTTCTCTGAGTAGTATTCTTGTCTCCCCCAATCTCAATAAGAGGGGGGAGGCATTGATTTCAGACTTTGTATACAATGTTCATAAGAATCCTTGCATCACAATTGAACTATACAGATACAACGGACCCGTGTGACTGACGTTATGTTCAAGAGCCCGGTGTCCAGCTGGCTACTATTTTCTTTAGTCTTCTCAGTTTATGTTAATGGAAGCACATCTCGCCTGTTTAAGGTCTCCTGACACACACTGAGCTGAATGGCTCCTAAATACAATTTGAGAACTTACTGATAAATGTTGGTCTGTGAAAAAAAACCTGACTTGGCTGGCTTACAAGCAGATATAGGGAAAAGAGACACTCACATGTTACTGCACAGAGGCAGGGAAAGCACAGGCCAAGTTTGCGGGTGTCCCAGAAGACCCTTTAAAGCTGCTGCACTGGACATTGGTTTTCAAGCACTACAATGCCGTGGTCTTTAATGAAAAGTGGCATCTTTTGTGATCAAGGATTGTGTTGGGACTGTTCTGTCAGGCATCCGAATATAATTTTGTAATGTTTACACAAAATCATCTCTAAAAATATTAAGTTTTGAAATGCTGACCATTTGTGTTCCAAGAAATAAACAGGAATACTTTTGCACATTCATTACAAATATTATGTATGGTTTTCTTATGTATATATGACCAGACGAAAGAGGTGGTTGACCTACAAAGCTTTTTCTTTTCTGTTTTAACAATACACACATTTATTTATAGTAGATTTGTTATTTATGCAAGGAATTGTGATCTGATTCTGTTAACACTACACTTCCTTTTGTTTGTACTTTTTTGTTTTGTTTTAGGAATGAAAATTGTCAATGTATTAATAAAGCTGCTAATCAACCTTTATTAAATCATAATGCAGCAACAAAAATGCTACTGGCTAAATTTTTTAATGGTTTGTATTCATAGATACTCTATCTTGTATATAAATAAACTTGTAAAGCTGTTTTTGCCTGTAGTTTCGTTTTTTTGTTCGTGTTTTTTTTTTTTTTAGCAGGTTTAGGGAGACATGCTGTTTTAGCCATCATTATTCCAAGCAGATGTTAAGTGGTATTAGATGGAATGTAATTAATGTAAGCTATGTTAAATAAAAAGTGTGGTTTGTTTAGATCCTGTGCAGTTTACATACAGATTAATTCCACAGTGAACCTGTGGTTCACTCATATAGGGTCACGGTCTCTGTTGCGCTCACCACCTGCACAAACATGTCTTCCTTTCACTTTCCAGCCACTTTATTTTGCCCTGGAAGTAAAGCGATCTTACATGGGGCTGACGACTCTCCCTTAACTAAATGTAACTGTGCTAGTTGTGTGTTTTGGGTAAGTACAAATGTTGTAGTGGAGGGAGGAGGTATTTCTATTCGCAATAGAGGTGCACCGAAATGGAAATAAAAAATATTGTCAGGCCAAAAACAAAATTGTGTTTTTTATTTATTTTTTAAAAACTTTAATTTTTTTATTAAATATTTTTATTTTTTACTTGGGGGCTTTGGGGAAATATTGGGGGTCTAAACAGACCCCTGATATTTACCTTTTTTAAAATAGGAAGAGTTTGAAGACACAAAGTCCTCAATGTCTTTTTTTTTTTTTTTCCTGCAGCGCCTGTTATAAATGAACAGGAATCCTCAATGTTCCTGTTCATTGATAACATAAGGACACGGTATGTTTACTATAACCACAACTATGAATGAACAGGAAGGGATGTAGATCACTTCCCATTCATTCATAATTGAGGATATAGTAACCATACCATATCCTCAATTATCTACAAACACTCAGCGATCACTGATTGTGTGTACTTGCTCTCCTTTCTGACATGCTGTCACAGGAGGCTGAGCGAGTGGTGCAGGGAGGAGAGCCTCCTGTGACAGCGTGGGCTGTCTCCGCCCCACACCGCTCAGCCGAACTGTGATAGGAGGCTGAGCAGTGTGGGAGGAGAGACGCCGGGCGCTCGCAGCACTTGGTCGGCTGTCGCACTTTATCTCTCCTCCCTGTTCGGATATAGAGCAGCACCCAGCAGGGAGGAAAGAAAGCAGGGATGCGCCGCTGTATCGGCACAAAAATGGCACTTTCGGCATTTAGCCATAGGCCAAAAATGCCACTTATCTGTTTTGGCGGACGATATATCGGTGCATTCCTAATTTACAACTGGCAGAACGCTCCCCTTTTCTACAAAGGTTATACTGTATATGCAATTCCACATTTACAGATATTAACACTCCAAAAACTGCATTTATTTTTTGAATCTTTAATTTGTAAAGGAATATCCTTAACTGATATGCAGACAGAACAAACCTGAATGAGGTTCTAACACTTCCCTTTTATACTAAAATGTGTTTATGTACCCTGTTTCCCCGAAAATGAGACCTAGTACTATTTTTGGGAATTGGTAAAATATAAGACCTACCCCGAAAATAAGACCTAGTTGTGACCTTTTACCAGGGCCAGTGGTGGCATAAGGGGGAACTTGAAGAGCCGCGAGAGAGGCAGGAGAGAATCAGCGATGCCAACAAAGCCAGCGCTAGAGGAAGCGAGGTGGGAGCAGAGCCGCATAAGCCGATGCCTCTATAGCGCCGGCTCCTGTCGCAGGAGGAGTGATACCGCTGCCTGTGAGGAATGGATAGTGAAAGTGCACTTCGCTCATTCTGGCCAGTGATTGGTTAGCAAATTGGAAAGGTACGACACCCCTGATCATATTTTTTGTAGACTTTTCTACATGAATAAGTGTGGCTTGTTGTACATTAAAAAAAAATAAAATATATAATTACATGAATAAGTGTGGCTTGTTGTACATTAAAAAAAAATAAAAAAAATAAGACCTAGTGAGGTTTTTTTTGGAGCCCAAAAAAAAAAAATATAAGGCAGTCTTATTTTTGGGGAAACACAGTATATGTCCCTGTAAAAGATTTCTCTTCACTTTTGTATTGGTGACCACTGTTGCTGTCGCAAGAAGTAAAGGACATGCTAATCAACTTGGACATGCCATTCAGCAGAAAACTTGACAGACATGAAAAGCTTTTAACACTTTCCAAAGATGAAAAAAAAGTTTTCGGTTGCTCCAGTTTGACCCATTTCATAAAATGTCTAGTTTCTTAAATACCGTGTATAGAAGGCACTATCAATGCATACTTGTATCTTAGAGTGCCTACTCTTAACGCACAAGCTTCGCAGCAAAGTCAATGGTGGTAAGTTTGTAAGGTAGTTATCACCATTTTGTAGTGTGGCCACTTCCAAATAGTTTGACTACATCAGATTAGCATATACAAGGCCCTAACAATGATATGACTAAATCTTCAATTACGCCTACTGGAGTGTTCTGGGCTGATGCCAAATTTCCTGAATAATTAAAAAAATTAGCTTGTTGCTAAATGAGAAAAATGGATTGGAGATATGTCTAGGACACTGCATTTGCTGGGGATTGTATATTCCAGGTTCTATATAAATATGTACTCTCAAAGGTCTGTGCACCTAAAGCTGGCCATACACCTATACATTTTCTATTGTCGGATGAAAAAAGTGCAACCGATTCCTCAATCTATACTAAACTGGATGGAGGAATCTCCCACTGGGCCAAGCTTCAGTATGTTGCTGGTTGGCCCTGCTGGCTGTCAAAATGCCTGAACAATGCCTGCATCGAATCAGATTGTTCAGGTATTTTGAGAGCCAGCGGGGCTGACTAGCAAGATACTGAAGCTTGGCCCAGTGGGAGATTCTTCCATCCGCACAGTTTAGTATAGATTGAAAAATCGGTTGCACTTTTTCCATCTGACCATAGCAAAGCTGCAGCTTCGACTAGGTGTTTGGCCAGCTTAACTCTGCCATAAGTGTAATTCTATACTACTATCTGTAAAATGTGTGTATAATGCAACACAGTGATTTAGTCTTGTTACATAAAAAAACCCTCCCAAAACAACCACATTTGTGCCAAATAAACCTAAA